CGTCGCGGGGGAAACCAGCCCAGACCGGGAGCTCCAAACTTCGCTCACGCTACGACACCCCCTCTGGGTATTTTGCTGTGCTCGTAAATGAAATTGATATATTTTGTTTTATGTTTTGTTCGATCGCCACACTCTCATAATGATTCGGGTTCTGCCATCCAATTTACATATGTGTAGGGTTTTGTATTTGTTCGGTTTTCATATGTGTATGTCTGTCAATCCGCGAGTGTTTTTCTTTCACATATCTTAAGGGTTTTGAAATGTAATAAAATGTCGTCCGGGAATAAAACCAAGGGGGTTTTTGCGCTGAGGGGTAAATCTTCGCAGCGTATTTCCCCCTGTGAGGGTGGTGCCGTTTCCCCCCCTCCAAAACAATTTCTGTTAATTATTTCTTGCGCTCTCGACAGTGTATGCACTTGTATGAAAGAACTTCTTCCCGCCATTTTTCAAAACCACAAAAAAAAAACACACAACGTAGGTTCTCATTTGTTAGACGATCACAGCCAAGGCCAAACTTTGAATTTTTGAATTTTTCGCGGGCCTTTCAAACTGTTTCAAGGCAAATTTTTAAGGCGGGAAGTTTGGGTTATCACAGAATTTGTTGCCGCGTGACCAGCATACAATGTTGCATACTGTGTTAGAGGAGCGCATTTAATGTTGCATAAATACTCATGTGTTTTGATTTAGAACAGGCAAAGTGATCAGCTGAAGAAATGGCCGAAAGACGGGAACGCAGCAGCGATAACCGTGACGACCCCGACTTCCGGATCACGGACGTGTGGACAGATCACACGCAAGCCACGACCTCCAAGGGTAGCCGAAGAAGCCCTAGCAGGGAACCGGAACGTTCCTCCGAAGGACGTTCGAGGAGCCCTAGCCAGGAACGCGGCAGACGCCGAGAGCGACGCGAGAGGACCCCAGAAGAACGACGCCACCGGTCCTACGAGCGAAGCCGATCCAGGTCCCACGACAGGGGCTGGAGGCGATACGCTTTGGACCTCGAGCGACGATTGGCGACGACATCTTTGCCCCGCCCTTCCTTTTCAGGCACGCGAAAGAAGGCGCTGGAGTTCTTGCGGGAATTCGAGGATTACTGCGCCGAGACGCACACGCCCTCCTCCAACAAGCTGGGAGAGGTGTTGAAGTGCCTCAAGGGAGACGCGAGGACATGGGCGACGGCCAGCCAAGACAGCTGGAGCACCTACGAAGACTTCCGCCACGACTTCGTGGAGTTGTATTGGCCCGCACACCAACGCAGGGCCGTGGCTGAGGAGGTCCGGCGAGGACGTTTTGACCCCCACCGAGACGGACTCATGGTGGACTATTTCATCAACAAGTACGGGCTCTTGAAGTCGCTGATGTTACCAGACAGCGAGCTCGACACCATAGACGACGTCATGAGGGTGTTCCCGGACGACGTCTGGAGCGCATGGAGCACCATTCCACCGAGGGAAAGGAGTTTTGCCAGGGCTCAAGGGTTCCTCCTTGGACGTGGGTCCGGTCGAGAACACAGGGACTCTGACAGAGGGTCGCCCCGTCGAAGGCGTGAGCGCCGGTCACCACGACGCAGGCGTCGTGACGATTCCAGGTCACATGCTCCTGTCCCCGCGTTGCCTGCTCAGGCACCCTTTAACCCCTTTTCGCTTCCTCCACCCAACACTTCGGGAAACGCCCGGAGGACACGTTGGTGAGGCAAACGTGTCTTGGTACACTTGGAATCGGGGGGACGTGTCTAGAAGAAAGAAGATAAAAATTCGATTGGCCTTCCTTTAGGTTAGCGTTTCCAGTCGCTACGCGTAGCTTCGCTCCGAAAACGCTGGGGGACGACTGTAAGGATCCAATTCGAATTTTTAAATTTCAAACGAATTCCGCGCGCACAAGAAACGGTTAGTGAGAAGAAGGAGAGGTTGGCAACCAACCACCCCAAAGAAACAGACATGCGCAAATGTTAGGGTGTTTTTGTCTCGTGTAAGATCAGCCACTTCTCTCTGACCGCTTGGAACAAACGGTCGACCTCCGTCGAGCGCTCCGAGCAACAGGTTGTATTTTTAATTGGGAATTGTTCTGTGCCTTTTGCTGTTGTGTTTTGTTTTTCCAGTGTTGATCTGTTCCATTGGAAAACCTAGTAGCCCCGTTGAGCCATTGGGTGTTCCTGATTTCTCATCGTTCTTACGACGAGGTTTTTGTGTTCCTGTTGGCGGTAAGCCGTGTCGAAATCTTCGCATCTTTGGAGAGGTATGTTTTGAACACGTTTTCGACTGGGACCTGTTTCGCCGCGAGATTCAAGCCCCGACGGTGCTTCTGACCTCGTGACACTTCGACGCGTGCGCCTTTTTTTCACTAATCTCGTTTTTTTTATCTTTCATTTAAAATCCATCGCAGTAGGGCTTTACAGGAAGTGATTTCTAGTTCGGGCCATGCTTTATTTAGCTATATTTGTGAAATCTGTATTTTGGATGGCGGCAAACGAATTGTTATTTTCACCGTTCTTTGTTCAGGCAGCGGCCATTTTGAAGCGTCCATTTTGTTTCTTTTAAACGAGCACATGTTTTAACTGAATCTATTGAACAAAATAACAACATTGTGGGTCGTGGGGGGACGTGCCTTTTATTCCTTTTATTTAGCCCATCGTTTATACAACGCCACAGGATTCATCGTATTTTTGCATCGCATATTTTCAACGCCTATTATTTTGAATGACGAATTCGTCCAACGCCATTTTGCAACTGCAGATTGTCTGCCATGTTTGTTTATGTGTTTTGTTTGGGGGAAATGTATGTGTAATAATGGCCCACAATGCATTTAAATAATTTCACGTTTGAATTTTAACCAATAACTTGACTGGACACGAATTAATATTAATCACATGTAAATCTGTTAACTTTACAATCTTTCACCTCATGCAATTTGTCTTTGTCTCACAATTTCAGTTTCAGTAATTTTCCTTGTTGTATAATTTGAATTGAACGTAAATTTCCATGCTCTGCAATTTTGACCTAACATGATATTTAATTTGTACAAGCTTATTTCACACCAGATCTTTGTTTTATAAATCTTTGCTAAGTTTTGATCATGTAAATATTTTGTTGATGAATGTTTTCTCTCATATAAATTATCTGATGTCCAAATTTAATCTCAATTAAGAATTATTTGTTGTTGAATTTTCGTAAGAGTGTGTGGCGAATTTAAATGTTGTTTATTGCTCCTTGTTGAAACTTTAACACTTGTTCGGTTGTCATTTAATATTAGAGTCATAGAGATTGAACATTTAAATAGAATTGGAGGTAAATAACACGATAACACGTAGTGTCGGCGATGGGCGCAGTTCCTAGTTGAGGTAGCGGAATGTGTCGCGCTCTCTGCACATATGTGCAGGCTTTGAACTAGACTTCAGTGGGAACGGTCTTGACGACGAGGTAGTAGTTGACGAGACTTCACCGCTAGTTTTAGGCCGAAACGGCCTGCTTGGACAACATGTTCGTAATGGAGGGGTGATGTCTGGCAGGCTTGGTGTAGATAGAATCACCGTCGCGGGGGAAACCAGCCCAGACCGGGAGCTCCAAACTTCGCTCACGCTACGACACCCCCTCTGGGTATTTTGCTGTGCTCGTAAATGAAATTGATATATTTTGTTTTATGTTTTGTTCGATCGCCACACTCTCATAATGATTCGGGTTCTGCCATCCAATTTACATATGTGTAGGGTTTTGTATTTGTTCGGTTTTCATATGTGTATGTCTGTCAATCCGCGAGTGTTTTTCTTTCACATATCTTAAGGGTTTTGAAATGTAATAAAATGTCGTCCGGGAATAAAACCAAGGGGGTTTTTGCGCTGAGGGGTAAATCTTCGCAGCGTATTTCCCCCTGTGAGGGTGGTGCCGTTTCCCCCCCTCCAAAACAATTTCTGTTAATTATTTCTTGCGCTCTCGACAGTGTATGCACTTGTATGAAAGAACTTCTTCCCGCCATTTTTCAAAACCACAAAAAAAAAAACACACAACGTAGGTTCTCATTTGTTAGACGATCACAGCCAAGGCCAAACTTTGAATTTTTGAATTTTTCGCGGGCCTTTCAAACTGTTTCAAGGCAAATTTTTAAGGCGGGAAGTTTGGGTTATCACACAATAATTAAATACTACTTGCTAAGATAATACTGATTTTGGCAAATCACATACCTTCCAAGAAAATAGAGGGTGGGTGGGCGGGGCTAGTATCTGCTAAGATAAAACTGATTTTCGCACTTTTGACATTTTCAACTAGTTTTCAACTATTTCAGAAAATTAGTTGAAGACATTTTTTTGTAATTTCCAAAAATTTTTTGTATGAAACAGTTAAAAGACGATCTGATCCAACGGAAAATAGTTGGCTTATAGATAATTTTTGGCAGATTACGAATCTAAAATATTTTTCACGATTTGTCTTCAAATAACTGAATCTAAATGTTACCCTTTTTAAAAAACTTTCTAATACCACCGTTTTTAAACTCTAAAAAGACATGTCAACAAATATGTAATCTGCTCCATCCTTCTTTGGACCAAAATCCATTATTTTGTTGCTTGGAACATAAATCAAGAGTTTGTGATATAATTATTCGAGCAACAGTGAAACCAGTTATTGATAATATTTGTTTGGAACAAACAGACTGGTTGAAGAAAATAACGATCTGTAACAAACCTACCAGCGGAAAAGTTTTAAAATTATGAATATGTACCTTCCTTTTTGTTAAATAATTTTCGTTTTGTAAAAATATATATATCTTATTTCAAAACTAAATAGGAGTAATATCATTAATGTTCTTGTGCCATTATCTACACTTTCAGAAAAACGTGATATTTTAAAACGTCATTTTGACAATTATTTGCCAACCAAGTTCATAATTGTACTCAACAGATGTCGTTGCCTGATTAACGATTTTGGAAACGTCAAAGAATCAACTTTTTATACGAATTGGGATGGCCATATGTATTAATACAGTTGGCCGTGGCACGACCTTCTCTATTAACTACGGCCTGCTCAATCGACCTGAATTTCATTGTTTTTTTGATTCTGAGAAAACGCAAAATGTCGCCACTTTGGCGCCACTTACCCGTTAACCGTCAATTAATTTTAGACCATCAACTGTCAATTTATAGGTTAACAAGAATTAGGAAACACTGGAAATTTTGATTTAAATTTATAATAGATGAAACCATTAAGCTACATGTGTACTTCAGAGGGCGTTTGCGAGAAATAATTCCAAAATCAGCCCGTAAAGCCATGGTCGGGCCTGCCCTCAACGTGGGTAAGCGTATCGTTTTTACCTGGTTTTTCCGAGTTTGTGAGCGACTCCCACAATACGAACGCATTTCGAAGTGCGACAATGATCTCCGATAAGTATGTTTTTCGTGTATTTTTTTCGTAATAATTGAATTCATTGTAATAATAGACCTGAAATTTGAAATGACAACTTAGATTAAAGATGGTATAAAATCAAAATCAGAACTCTCGTGAGAGTTGCGCTCCAATGGACACGACCCTTACTTCTAGAGAGACAGAATGTAGTGATTAGAATCAAGACGTTAACATTTACTTTTCCTAAGTCGGAAAATTATTTAAAAAGAAAATGGTTGGCCGCACTAAAGAGAATGATTTTTGAAACTTCTGCTAACCAAAGCGTAAGTTCTACATTGGTCTACAGTTATTGTAGTTGATGATAATTATTAAAATACAGATCATCAGTTAATGCATATTATCTTTCACTGTGCGAATTACATTTTAGCGAAGCATACATTGAAACAAGCTACTTTCATGAGAGGTCTGGACAGCTTCTTTAGTTCATCCACAATCGAAGCAGGGTGAAAATAGCTGTTACATACAGAATCAGTTTATAGAAGCGAAACTACTAAATTTGGTAAAACTTTACAAAAGGCACTTCTCGATTTCGCACAAACTGTTTGCACACAACTCTTCTAGAGCACCCCCTGGTCACCACAGCTGATCACGTTCCTCACCTTCAAATGTTGTGCAAATGCTTCCTTTTGCCACAAAGAATGTGCCCTTTTGTATAGGTGTAAATTTTATTACCACGTAAGCTGTATTGATAATAATACATCATGGTTCAAAAAATTTCAAACTATCAGCACTAAGGTTAATAGTTCGCAAATCTAATCAATTAGTCACATATTTAATGAATAAAGTTTCTATAAACTGATCTACAATCTTCTTTGCTGCAATACATATTTTGTCTGCAGTAATAACAAAATAATGTTTACATTTACGACATCCAACATCTCGGTACACACGAAATCTTGGAGCTTGTAAATAGAGGTGGCATATATTATTTACACTAATTTATAACTTGATATTTATAAGATTGTAATTTTAGAATGTTTCTGGTATTTAACCAAACTTACAACGCTTAATAATATAAAATATTATTATGCAGATCCTGTTCCCCGTCCATCAATATTCTGAAATATTTCCTTTCAACCGGGCCTATCTCTCCCATCCTCTTTAGAAAATTCTGAAAAAAGATGTCACTTGAAATTCTGGTGGTTGCAATTGCTGCCAGATTAGAACGTGACACTGAATTTCAAAAGAAGTAGAAATTAGAGATTTGAAAACATTTTGGAATTGTATGCGAAATTACAAGAACTTGACGAAGGAAGTTGGTAAGGCATAGAAAAACAACAATCACTTTATAGGGCCAATTCTGAATCAAACATGTTAAAATTTAAAGGTTACTATGCAAATTTGCAATTTAACGCCATTTAAATTTAACAAGTTTGATTCAGAATTGCCTATTATATACCTATCATTTATTTTAAAGAGTCAGACTTTCCAAGCTTAAAATGTACAGTTAATATTTCAAATGAAATCGAAGTTTCCCACAACTGTAGACGATTTTAATCAAGTAGGAGAAATTATACAAGAAACAAAAAATAATAAAGCATTCAATTAGTAAATGACATTCTCCTATATCTTTGATTAAACGTTGTCAGAAAAGGAATCCAGAATCAAATTTTTAAGTGAACATATTCATTTTTACTTCCCGAGCGTAAGCAAAGGAAGTATTGTAATCGAGTCCGTCGGCCGACTCTCTACTTTTACGTTTTTTCGATCTTTCATGACCCCTAGAAGACGAAGAAATAGGTCTCCCATTTCCGTCTGTCTGTCCGTCCGTCTGTCCGTCCGTCTGTCCGTCTGCCGTCCCGGATTTTTATTAGACAGATAATCTCCGAAAGTACTCGACCGATTGTTGTGAAATTTTGTACTTATATTAAGAATATCATGTAGATGGTAAAACGCCAACCAAAATTTGTCTAATCATCCCCACCACTAATGCGATAACGTCACTTCAAAACTGTACATAGTAAATGGGTTTTCAATTGTATAAAATAACATAGTCCTACACATGTAGTTTACAACTCTGAATCGACTTTTCACCCGAAACGTCCAGATTTTTGGAAAAAAAATCAAAATTATAAAACAACATTTTGAAATTTAATTTTTAATCTGCTAACCAGAATGCTTTGAAATGTTGCAGATGTTTTAAGGCTATAAAGAGCATCATAAATCTTTAGTCAAAAAATATTTGCTTATCCCCTCCAAAAACTTGATGACGTCAGCTCAAAAGTTTGTGGAATAAATCATATCTAAAATGTACAAAATATGATGAGTCTGTACTTGTGATCTATCACTCCATTCATATTTTTTGGATTTGCATATACAGGGTGACTCAAAAAAATTAATGAATGCGTAAATATATTTTACTGATTTAATCAGGAACTACAAAACCGAATGCTTCGAAATCTTGAAGATATTTTAAAATTATCATAAGCATGGTAAATTTTTGATCAAAATGTATTTGGTCGTCCCCCCTAAAAAATTTATGACGTCACCACAAAATTTTGCTGAATAAATCCTATCTAAAATGTACAAAATATGGTGAGTCTCTTCTTGTGGTTTATCATTCCATTCAAATTTTTTCGATTTGCATATACAGGGTGACTCAAAAAAATTAATGAAGGCGTGAATTTATTTTATCGATTTAATCAGGAATTACAAAACCGAATGCTTTGAAATCTTGGGAATATTTTAAGGTTATTATAAGCATGGTAAACTTTTGTTCAAAATGTATTTGTTCATCCCTCCTAAAAAAATTGATGACGTCACCCTTAAATTTTGCTGAATAAATCCTATCTAAAATGCAAAAAATATGATGAGTTTGTACTTGTGATTTATCATTCCATTCATATTTTTTAGATTTTCTTAAGAGGTGGTTCAAAAAAATTAATGAAGTCAATTTATTTTATTGATTAAATTTAAGGCAACACTTATTATTAGTATTACACCCCAACCAACCCAATTTGGTAGACACAAAATTTGTTAAAGGAAAAACTCGGTTGAAACATAAGGGTAGCACGCTTATTTACATCGACTTTAACATCACAGACCTGCATTTGTTTTATGCGCTCACTTGGTTCCGCGAATGTGAAATAGACATGTTTATAATCAACCAATTGTGAATTTCACCGTCAAGAATTAAAATAAAACCCAATGTTTTATATAATAAGCGGAAGTCGAAGCAATAAAACCGATGGTCGTTTTGTTTACAGTTTCTCTGTTTGACTCTCACGTATGCTGTTACGCTTGTCATCTTAAATTAAGAATGTTTATACATAAACGATTTTCAGTTGCCTTTCATATTACTAGACAGCGGATTTTTGTCGGGCTACGTCACGATTATAGGTGGGGACGCACTGGATCGCCGGGACTCAGTAGCGGGTGACAGATAATCACTGAATTTAATCAGTACCAATTCCATAAATATAATTAACGATTTATTAATCAAACGGCTAAGTAAATGAGAACGGGAATTAACAGCAGAGTGCAACGAAACAGCGTTATTCTAATCTCAAATAAACGAAGTGCAGTCCGCAACCGCAATGAATTCGCATCCCGTACGAGCCGTACCGAGTTTGGCCTTGCCTAGCCCGACAGAAATCCGCTCTCTAGATATTACACACCGGCGCCGTATACGTGAGTAAATTGTTTCGTTATTTTATTGATTATAAGAAATCAATATTCAAAACGACCCAATTCATTTTCCCGAAAATTTGGGAATACAATAATTTTATTCTTAGTATTACACTACATCTATCCCAACTGATATACGTGTCCTTGCAAAAATGTTGATGACGTCATCACATTTTTTTTTTAAATTCCCACTACAAAAATGTAATGAGAAAAAAAACACAATAGGCATGCAGTCGTCAAGTTTCCGACAGCGAGAGAAGTACTGTCTAAACTCTTTAGACCAATTTTTTGTCTATATTCTCCAAGATTCGATTTAGATACACGTGGGAATTGATTGCTATATTCCATATCCCTACGTGCATACAGATTTTTGAGAAGTTATGGGTGTTTAAATCTCCCATGTGCAAGTACCATACAAAGACTATGCGTTAACTACTGATCCTCGAATGGAACAAAATGAAACTGTTTTTTGAAATACGTGGACCCTACATGATGGCGTCACAAGACTAGGTCAAAGGAAAATAGTGTTATTCTAAAATGGGAAAAAATTGAAATTGACTGTTTAGTGTTTACATCGAAAGACATGCACGCTGTACGCAAAGGATATCTTGTGCACGTTTATTTTAATAACTATATCTTATAGTTTGTGCACTTTGCGAGATATAGGTTTGGTGTACAATGGTGTTTGTACGGAATCGTTGTCTGTTCTTGTGCTTCCAACGTTACTTAGTACTGGCGGCAATAATTTGGAAAGAATTATTTGGGAAATTGTTCTTTTGTGATCTTGATTTCCACATGTGAAGAAGTTTGAGGCACTTAGATGGTCCAGCAGGAGTTCATACAAAATTTTTGAGGGATTACACGACATCGGCAAGTATTGTATGATGTCCACAACTAATTCGTATATATGTGATATTAAGCATGCAAATTCTGTTGTAGGGTACTTTAAACCTCCTCGATCTTGATTTTGAATTAGTCCAAGTAAAGGATTGGTAGTGTCTGACGTTGACAACGGGCCCAAACAAGTTGCACAAGAAACCCTCTCCTGAATTGTAAGTACTATATAACCAGCAATAAACGCCTGTGAGGCAGATTTTATGTTTTGTTTCAGATTATACCGAACGGTTTTTATCAACTGTATCTTATTTATAACATGTTCTGGAAACTGAATATTATTTATGTCTTTTTGAACTTGTTCCTTTGCAATTTTAGATTGCTCAACACTGCTGACGTATGTATAGTCTGCTGAAACATTGGCATGCAATGACGTCTTTATTATGCCCGACTGCAAAATTCTTTTTATAGCATGATGTGCGGCTCTGGCATCAGTTGCATCTTGAGAACCTCCTCGCATTCGGATCTGACTGAATGTGGACTCAATAGCATCAGAACTAAATGCTCTTGTGAGCACAAAATAAAAATGTACATCACGCAGCAAATATTGTATGCATTCGGCGGTACTTTTGCACGTGAACTTTAAAGCATGTGCCGTTTCTTTGGTCAGTCCAGGAACATGATTTTCAGCAGAGTTTCGTTGAATGGAATCAACGTACTGTGGAAAAGTGTACCTCATCCACGATAATCTTTCATCATCGACGCTAATGTAGGGTGCACAGTCTTCATTTCGCTGTCGGACATATTGGATTCGGTCACTAACATCGTGAATTTGGAAAAATTTATACATCATCTCCATGTATTCCACAGTTGCTACAGAAGTTGTGAAGTTGTAATTCCAAACACCGTCTTGTACCGCTAAATATTTGATTGCTGCAGTAACAGGCGGTGAAAAAAGTTCCACAGCTCTTCTAACGTTCATCTTTTCAAAATTACTGGGATAAAGATGTTTCCGGGTTAAGAATCTCACCGGCTTTATAACCATATCTTTTTGGATGTTGTAGAGGCTGACTAGTAACTGTGATGTAATTATTCCTTGATCCGAAGACATATCACGATCCAAAAAGATGTTACGTGCGTTTTTTGCAACGTGGCAATAATCGAAGCTTAGAAATAAGGGGATCTTGGGTTCTATGGGATGGTCTATTTGTGTTGTTAGATTTCCATTTCCAAGCATCGTGAAGAGAGCCACGTTTGATTTATGATTGTCTGCGACAAGGCGAATAGTAACAAAACCACACTCATGCAGCAGTTGTAGGACTTGGAGTGTGAGTTCGTACATATCGCGATGTGTTATTTGTTTATGAAAGTAGTACGCTACTGGTATTGTGTATTTTATAGATAATCCCCGCAGTACAAAACACAACATCTTATTTGCTATCGCTCCTTTAGTAATTGAAGTTTCTTCGTTGATGGTCTCTATCCCATAAAACTTGTCTTCTGCTTTGTTATAATTTAATTTAGGCTTAATTGCCATGTCATCTATTAAAATACTGCACACTTTAGCAGTGGGTGATAAAACCTGAGCTTCCGCTAAAAGTCGATTTCTAATTATGTGTGGCATATCTTCCCCGCTTCTGCCGGCGTATCGTTGCAGAGTTGCACGTGATGGAAGTTTTATAAATGAGCTTGGATAATCATACCCTTTAGGGCTGGAAAAGCGCCACATAAGGCAGAAACGTACTGTCAGCTCAGACCACTGTGGACGTTTCTTAGAATAATTTGATACTTGATCCAACAAGAAGACTGCATATTGGTTGTTTTCATGAGCATCTGACCTAATTTTCTCTATGATTTTATTTTCTGGGCTGCACTGGTACTTATCAATGACTGCTTGCATTTGTTGTAGCTTTTGGTTTTTTTTGTCATTCTGGCGTATCAGACGTTTGATTTTCAAATTTAACATTTTAATTTCTTTCTTGTACTGTTGTATTTCGTTTTCTGTAATGATTTCGGTCTGGCACTCATTATCCCTTGTCTGAGAAAGCGTTTATAGATAAACATGTGAAAAACCGTAAGAATTCCATTACCTGAAAGACTGGCAGATTTTCAAATGAAGGATTTGAGGAACGTCGAGGATTTGATAATGTGGTAATTTCATTCTGGGGACACGAATTAGAGAATTTGGCAAGGGAGTATTATAAGTAGGTAGGACTTACAGGATAAGGATTTTGATTAATTACGATGTCATTGTTAACAAGATCAGTGGCGCCAGAGGACGAATTAGTCTAGAATGGAGATTTTTGGATATAAAATTGTAGGTTTGGCAAAATTTGTACACGGAAACTACCATAAATAACGTGGGAATAGCATCACGTTTCAGCAATTTTCTTCCTGATTCAGATGCTTTAAAACATGATGTCAGGAAATGTAAACTGCAAACAACCGTTTTGTCCGATAATCTTGGACACTCATCTACAATTTTTCGTATTCAGAAGTGTTTTTTTTTAAATAAAATATGTCAAAATTTATGCAAACAAAAATAGGTACTTAATAAAAATATTTATTGAAGATTTACCGGTATTAGGATATATTTTTCCCAACCATACTTGTCTTAGCTTAAAATTAGAGGGAAACTCATGAAAGGATCTTGAAGGATCTGTGGAGAAACACGACGGAACACAACAAAACGTATAAGGCATTTTAAAATGCGAAACACAACACAAAGCACTAAAACAAACGTAAACAAAAACAAAACGAAACGGCGATTGTAAATCTCGGATCTATTTAGGCCACAAATAAACTAAAGCAGATTAGACACAAGAGACACGTTGAGGAATGACAAATATTCCCGTCACAATTTTTGAAAATTATCTAGTAGTAGGCAGGTGTCTTTTTTGGCGTTTAACGGGTAAGTGGCTCTACGCGGAGAACACGAGAACTAGACGATTGAGCAGGCCGTAGTTAATAGAGAAGGTCGTGTCTACAGTCACAGTAGATCAGTAACGAAACTTCAGCAATATTTGCGGAACGGGTGTGACCTTGGGAGCCCGTTCCCGGGAAACACGAAGATTCAAATATTTCGTAGCATTCGTATGTGATTCATATAATACTAATAATTGTACACAAAAATAAAAATGGGTGGCATGTACTAGTGACATTGGCCATTTTTTTCTTTCTTATAAATTATTAATATATTCAAGCAAAACATTTTGATTCAATTTTGACGTTTTAAACTGCGTTTATTAAATCCTTAACAAGTCTGACAAATAAGTTGTCACCCACAAGTGAATTGCAAAATTTTTATTTCACTCTTAATATTTTTAAATCACTCACAAAAAAATAAAAAACAACTTCAGGAACATAAACATTTTGCTTATTATTTTTAATAGTTTTCACAGAATACAATTTGTTAACAATTTTCACTAAAAGGTTGCTGCAACTAAATTAGTATTGTTTGAGATATTTGTTTGGCTCTGTGAGACGTCAATTTGGGAATTGTATAAATCCCACACCAATACAATTCCAAAGTGTGTTTCGGAAACTATTTACTACAGATTATTTCGATACGAGTGCAAGAACCAACTGTGAAACACTGTTTTATTTGAAATGAAAAATTTGCTAAGGTGTTCTTTTAAACAAACTTCCACAACACATCTCCCCTGTATTCCGGCCTCTTCAACAATCATTAAGTGATGTGAGTTACCGGAAACTCACCTTGAAAGAACACAACTGTTTATGGTATGTTTGTGGATACTCATTAATACGAAAATTCTTACACCACCACTTCTGCGAAGTTTGTTGTGAACTTTGCACATTCTTACGAAGTGGTACATCCTGTTTTAATTGTGTGACATTTTAAAGTCTTCAATGAAGATGTGATTTTTGGCGATTTAATGATACCACCTAAACATGTTGCAGTTTATACTCCGATGGGTAATACATTTTGTGAGTTTTTCCCAATTTATGCACCATAGTCGTTAACTGGTTTGCGGCTAAAAAACGAACCATACAAAAATACCATTCCACCACCCCTGCAAAGACTTTCCTCTTGATTACCTCGTTTCAGTTTTTATTAGTTAGAATTTTTTACACACTAAAATTTAAAAATAAATCTTCGACCGCTCAAACACGCACACATCGAAAATTAAACTATTTCGTTTAACCTGCAGTTTGTTGACCTCTTTAGCCTGGAATTTTCTAGTATTTTTTACATGTATCGTAAGTATCTATTACTTTGTTAAAATAAATTTTACGTTTGTTTTTAACCCCATAACCCAACATCCCGTATGATTCCGTAATTAATATGACATTTCTTGTTGACAAAACCAGACAAAACGTTCACCGAAAACCTTAAAATGAAAAAGAAACTATGTTCTTCAAGGTCGGAGCACCTTTAGTGACGCTAGTGACCTCTTTATGTCGTTCCGTAAGCTCCCCATGTATTTCTTATGGAGTCAGCTGAGACTTTCATAGCCCTGCTACAGTTTTAATTTTTTTTTCCATATTATTGTTTACCCAATTTGACAACTAATTTTTGTGTGTGTAAACTAAGGATAGTATTAGTGTATAAATTTTATTTGAAGCAACTTTTTTTATTTGTACATTTGCAATGTGCATTTGAACTTTGTGCACTATAGTGGACATTGTGACTGTGCTTCTACAAATAAAGGTAAAAACATAACCCAACTTTTATTAAAATTTATTAATTACAACGTTATTTTTTGCTTAAAAATATTTAGAATGGCTGGTAAAAAAGCACTAAGTCATGCAGAACTTGTAGAGTTGATTGAAGGTGACTTGTCGGACCTTGAATGCCTAAGTGATGACCAGTCAGATGGTTGGGAAAGTGAGGGCCCTGAACCCCCAGATGGTATATGAACTTTGTTTTTTTTATCAAAAATCTTTCTCATAACTTAAATATTAGATGTAGAAAATTTGGTTGTTTTTCAATCATCAGGAAGCTCGGAAGAAGACAATAATGAAACTCCTTTTTTTGAACATCGAACAGTACAGCCTCAACCTACCATTTTACAAGAATTATCGAAAAAACAAAGAATAGCAAACTTTATGCAAACACATGATTTAACATCAAAGAAAGAAAAAAAAAAAAGAAATTTTAGATCTAATCCATTTTAGAGCATATGTCGCTGAAAGTTTGATATATGCAAACAAAACGCCAAAAAAACGAGGAAGACCCTCTTTATCTCAAAGCATGTCTCCGACATCGTCACCAAGACCTTCGTCAAGTCTATCTTCAAGAGATTCACTTCAACATACGTTACCTCCAAAAAAAATTGTAAAAAAAGAACACGTACCCGTGATTGAAGTACGCCAGGATAATATTGGCCATTTGCCAGATATGGATCAAAAGAGTTTTGCTTCTCGGTGTAAATATCCTAATTGCAAACGGAAAACGTATGTATTTTGTGTTAAATGTACGGTACATTTATGTATACAAAAAAATCAGAATTGTTTTAAATTGTATCATGAAAAGTAATGTTTGAGTTTAAATAAAACACCAATGTTTGACTGATGTGTTACTACAATTGAGTCACAATGTCCACTACAGTGGACATGATTTTTTTCAAAAAGTATGACAAAAAGTCACTTGATATTTACATGAAAAATCTTTAAAAAAATAATACATCGTCTGTGCAAAAAAAAAAAATTTTATATCAACTAATAAAAATGCATGACTGAAAGGGTTAAACTGCAGAGCATGAAAATTTACGTTCACTTTAAATTATACAACAAAGAAAATTACTGAGGCTAAAATTATGCGATAGAGAAAATTGTATGAGGTGAAAAATTGCACAACTAATAAAATTACATGAGTTTAATATTTTATGTCCATTCGAGTCATTGGTTAATTTTTAAAAGTGAGGTTATTCAGCTACATTGTGGGCCATCGTTTTACATTCCCCCAAACAAACACAAACAAAGATCATAGCAGGCAATCTGGAGGTTTAAAATGGCATCAGACGAATGCGTCGTTCCAAAAAATATGCGTCAAAATATGTCTCCCAGAAATGTGATCAATCCTGTGGCGCTGTGCAAATAATGGTCTAAATTGTAGGAATAAAATGCACGTCCCACATGACCCACAATGTTGTTAATTTATTCAACAAGATTTTTACAATTCAAACCTGTGCATGGTCTAAATCTACTCTTTCAACATCGACGCTGCCAGAATAAAGAATTTACCTGATGTTAAATTATGCCACACTTTACCAACGATTCAAACAAAGAGGTTACATTATGTTAAATTGTGCCACACTTTATCAACGATTCAAACAAATAATTTATATTATGTTAAATTATGCCTTGATCCAAGTGATTGGTTCTTAAAACAATTAGCTTTCAGAGTTTTTATTGTAGACTGTCCTCAGCTTGTCCACAATAAAACACATGATAAATAAACAATACAAAAAGGAAAGCTCCTCGGTGGTGTAATTATACACGTTGCGATGATGATATGACGATAATAACTGCCTAAGGGAGAAATTTTTAATCCCCCCATACCTCAGTTCACGATATTATCATTCTACCGTACTTTCACCGTACTTTTAATTTTGAAGTGTTATAATGTAACACTTCAAAACTTAAGTATAAGCATCCAGAAACCTTATTCATAATTAGACAAACAAAATCACAAAATCGAATGAGTCCTGACTAAGTGAATGTCATGAAAACTCCTGCAAGTGCTTATCTAAACAAATTCCTGATTGTTAAATTGTGTTAGAACTTGAATTTACAAACAATAAAACAAATTTATACACGTGTTGGCGTCGGTCGAAAATTCACTTATGTCCGAATGAAAAAACCGCAAGAATTAGCTACGCGTGTTGGGGAAACTGTGGCGTCGTCGTCGTTACGATTAAGTTTCGTTAAACCCTTTTTTATTAACAACCAAACCAACTAAACTCAACCTAGCTAACTCACCACGTGGTTACACTCACAACAAACACACCAAGAGTGACCCTCCCCCCTCCCTCCCAAGCCGCCATCTTCTACCAACAGTGATGCCAACTCTCGCACTAAATTTCCAAGCAGAACTACTCATTACCCAAAAAGCGCTAACGTGCATATGGTTGCCTACGTTTAACGATTTTTTTATTGATTTTTATTTTTAAATTCAAATTATTCAAATGCGATTTCGCGCCGCTGTTAATTTTTTTCAGAGCGAAATTTTTATTTCAAATTCGTTCACCACAGTGTGTTTACGACTTTAACTCCATAAGCACAGTACCATAAGCATTCTACAAAGGATCCCTCATAAAATTCAATAAACACAAGCAATGGCACGATAGACAGGTAGACCACTTTCCGTATTGAAATAATTTTATTTGTTATTCTTACAACAGCAAAAGATCTTTCCAGGCAAGCGGATTTACTGTAACCCACTGTAACGAACTTGTAAAGATTACCGCAAGTGGATCCCCAGTAGCAAGCAATATTTTTCTAATATTTATACAAGATTGATATAATATTAAATGTTGACTAGATATTACAAATATTTATATAATATTCATTTTATATTTATAAATTTATATATGAATTTCAACATATATTACATATTTATGAAATGTCTTTTTATCAAGATACCTAACAACAAACATGAAAAAAAAAGTACCATATTGGGACAAGTTGTAGGTAATTAGCCAAATACACTGACGTCATCCGAGGTCATCAAGATGGCAGCGTTTGACAACCACAGATCACACAAGTGTGTGGTCTGTGTTGACAACTAGCCGGTTTTCTCATAAGAGTCAATGCTAATATTTTCGGAATTCATTTAAATTTGAGAGTGTGTCAACTGTGTTTTTATAGTTTGGTAAGTTTGTTACAGTTTCTAGAGTGTGTAGATATCTGTAAAACGCACCATAACGTTTGAATATCCTTAAAAAATAATGTTTTCCAATGTGATGTACAGGTTAACTTCGCTGCATCTTATATTATTTGTTTTGCAAATTAATTCTGTGTTAATGTACATCAATGTTTTTTAAATACACTAGCATCTTAATATTATAATGTTTTGTATTTTAGGAGAAAATGCCTAAATTTTGTGCTGTTGTGGGTTGCGCGAATCGAAGCACCAGAAATACGGACAAATTTTATTTTCCTTTCCCAGCAATTAGCAACAATACAGGTAAATATGTACAGGATGGGGAAAAAAGGCGGAAGCTTTGGTTAAAAGCCTTGAAACGAGTGGATTTAACGAAGCCAAAGTAAAGTATTCCTATATTTGTTCGGATTATTTTATTTTAGGTACAGTAACTACCTATTAGGTTTACAGTTTCTAATAAATTACTACATTGATGCTCTTTTAGGTAAACCTGCAGATTTGTCGGATGTGGACCAGCCTGATTATGTTCCATCACAAAATTTAGGATATCAAAATAAATTCACTCATAATACTTGTAATGTTGAAAGACACAGTCGTTTAAAAAAGAGAAAACTGAATAAATGCCTCTAGACTTTTGAATGCACGAATTTCATTGTAGGTTATTTTACTTATTCCAAAAATAAAAAAGTTTAGAATGGTATTCATTGTTATGGTAGGGACATCGTGTAAACACAAATTAAAATCACTTGCACTCATTATATAAGGATCTACGCCGTTTAAATTATCCATACTTTAAAAACAAATCACACATCTTCACTTAAACCCGTCACATTAACCTCAAACGAAAATATTAATTTCCGATTTACCGCTTAAAACACACGGATGTATTTTGGGTGACGAGGAATTCAGACCAAAACAGCGTTCTGTATTTTTATTGTTATTATGTATTTCTAAACTCAAATCGCCAAAAAAAGCACCCTGATACACAGAAAAGATATGAAAGAAGCTACTGACGTGTTTATTTTCTAGATAAATATCCACACTTTTAAATAAAATGCGAAAATGTTAACATTGTCGCTTACGAAGTTTCACGGCGCTTGTCAAACGCTGAGTTCCCGCCACAGCGTGACGTCACGTGTTATTGGCTAATTTATTTCACAGGGTTTTTATTGCAGTAATATTGAAAATTGATTTGAAAAAATACCAGCTGTTGTGAAATTGACACTATTCGAAATCTCGCTTTGCACACTATTAATTGCTCATTAAAAAGTAATATTTTTTTTATTTCTGCGAACAAAAAATAACAATTGACCAGTAAAGTGAATGACGCGCGAAATTTGAACTCAGTTCATAACACGAGACCCGTATTTCAGTTCCCCGTGTAATCTTTATGGGTGAAATCGAGGCGTCATTTTAACGCTTAAATTCTACCATTAAAGTAATTTTCTTATATATCCCACTACTTGTACCATGAAGACTGATATTTTTACTGTTGATCTTGACACCAAACATGAACGGAACCGGTGGTATTTAATAAATATTTAAATTCAACTTTTACCACTACATTTACCTCGAACGTATGTCGTACAGTGGTTCATACTGCCATTGAGTTCCCCCTCCACATAAATGGCTTTGATTTTCACATGCTACAGATACGGTTGTGAATTTAAAATAATACATAAAGGAGAGTTTTCAATCAATTGCCAAATTTTGATTTAAGAATCATCATCAATCCCAAGCTTTTTTCTTTTTACACATTTTTGCTAGAAAAGGAAAAACTTAGCATTCCTGATTAAACCTTTCATGTACAAGTAAAAATCACTTTCATTTTAGTACGAATTGGGTCTGAAACACCCATTTAAAAAAAATCACAATTTAAACAACAATTTATTTCAAAACAAAAAAAAAATATTCTACAATAAAAAATTGCACTTCCTAATGCAAAATCTGATTCACTTTTGGTGAAAAACTGGCCCACAAACTGTCGACTTGATGGTCCATTTAAATAGTCCTCAGACACTAATAGTTCTTCGACACTGTGAAGTAGATTTTCTTGAGATCTTTCTGGTTTAGAGCCCAATAGTCCAGTGCTTCGCTCCCATCAGTTTGTCGTAAGCTTTCGTGAAGTTGTACCTCAACATTGGCTGTTTTTAGGTTGACTTGGGGATTAAAAGAATTTTCAGAGATCATAGCTCTGACCTCAGCTGATTCACTTTTCTTCAGATGTACGTCCAAAGAACGCAAATTATTGGTCCAAAATAACTACATTATAACGTCCGTGTAGGGCAGGTGTAGTCATATGGTGACATACAAATGCACCTCTTGGGGTTTCACATGTTGCCTCTCTTAAGGAATATCTATGCATAATAAAACAAAATACCTCATAATTGTACTTGATACAGAACTTTAATCAATATACATTAACTTACCATAACCTTATACATGGTTATTTCTCATTCTAGCTCGAATAAACTCTTCAAGCACATTTAATTTAATTCAGTATACCAATTGACTTTCACTATATTATGTGACTGCAAAGAATTTTCTCCGTTCACAATGCATTTCCGATCGTCAACAAAAAAAAAATTGGTAATTGCCCCTATTGTTAACACATGTCTTTTTGTCATTATTAATAACAAATACAAAAAAACCAGTCCACAGACATATACAACCTAATGTGAATTAATATCACAGAAATAGTATCACCCAAAAATTGATTATGATTGTTTGTTGTTATTAAAGTACGAAATCAACTGTCATATTTTGGGGATTTTCACGATCTAAACGTCACTAGTAGCGCAAAATATTCGCGTTCTTTTTCTTTCCCAAGGGTTTCTGGATTTTCTGTTTCACTCATGCGCAAGACGTTAGAAACGATGTACGTTACTTCGATGGATAGAGCTGTTTTTAATTTGCAATATTTCTTTAACAGAAGCTTTTTATATAGTTAAACCTTTAGTAACAGGAAGATAATTGTACAGTCTTTATCGCTTGTAGCATGAACTAGTTAAGATTTTTACCTATGCGGCGTATTTTGTCTGTAAAATCAAGCTCCCATAAGAAACCCATAGTAGAATTTTTGAATTATGAACTGCCGCGCATTCTAAATTCTAACCTTACTTTACTGGTCAATTTTATTCATCATTTTTATAAAACTTACTTAAATTTGTGTTTCACCTACAGATGCGCTTGCTCTGCTGGAACGCGTTTGCGCAGTGTGCAACATATATGGTTCAAAAAGTATTTTGTGTAAGTTCATGGTGTTTATCCTATTGTGAATTGTGATTGTCGGTACTGCGATAAATTCAGAATACTGTAGTAGATACCGTTTTGTCAAGAAAACAGTACTAAACCTACATAACCTCACTTCTACATGCAATGCAGAAAATGCAATTTCTCAACACGTAAGTATATTTAATAAGAGGTTTAATATTTCTGAATATAAGCATGTTATGAATGTAGAGACAAAATGATGAATGTCCGGGCGCAACCAAAAAAAAAAAAGAAGAAATCGAGTTAGAAATTGCGGGAGATACGCAGAAATTGGATGATTGGTAAGCATTTATTATTATTATTATTAACTCCTAGTATTTATAAACTAGTTTCAGACTGATAATAATGTTTATTTTCCAGGAAGAGAAGACGTAAAAAAAACATGTATGCAATTTTGAAGAAATTATTAATAATGAACCAAATTGCTTTCAAGTTTTCAGGGCAAGGAAAAAAATAAGCTCTCTTTTAGTGAAGTCACAATTAACAAGGCTACAGTATGTAAAGTTATTGTATGTGATTTCTTAAAAATTACGAACTTTGTAAGTTAATTTAATTGTAGGTACCACACGGAAACATCACAAAAACGCCACAACTACTGAAATTTAAAAAATGGTAGGACCTCATTAAGCGCAGACAAAGGCAAGAATGAATTCTCATCGAAAAAAACATGAGGTATGATTTTTTTATTTTAATTAATTATATCGCGTTTCAATGAATTGGTTATATAGCAAATAATTATTAAATACATATTTCTGTGTAACGATTGAAATGTAGCAGAACATTGTTATTTCCATTGACAATGTATTTTTATTTCATTATAAGTTGGCAGTGTATTTTTATGTTTAAAAAATTTATAATGTGTTTCACATCAGGTGATTTTTTAAATTTATGCTCTGGTTGCCCATGAAGCTTATGTCAGCAGTTTCAGTTTCACTGCTGACATAAGTGTCATGGGTAACTACTGCAGAAATTGAAAAAAATCACCTGGTACAAATTTTCAACGAATTGGTTCTAGGACAAATAATTTTTAAATGTAAAAATATTGCCGCAACGTTTCAAATACACTGTTATTTTCAGTGACAATGTATTTTTGTGCTTAATAAATTTTATATTGTATTCCATACAGGTTTTTTTATATCCATACCCCCTTTCATATGAAGAACATTTATTAAATGTTCTGAACTAAATAAGTATTAAACATTGAAAATAAATATATATTCAATATTTAAAACCAATATTGATTTTCTAAAAAAAAATCTGTCGTTACCCATATTATTTAAATGTCACAACTTCAATATTTATTCCATACATATAAAATGTTACTGGGGGAGTAACAATTAAGTAAGGCATAACCGCATTAAAATGATTTCAATGCGGTTTGTATCTACATAGTTATTGAATTTTTTGCAGGATCTGGTGTAAAATGCTCATGAAGTAAAGTTGTAAACGCACCCTGTCGGAACAGGGTGTAGACGTCGCCTGAAGCGACTTGAATAGGTGCCATAAATAAGAGACAATTTACGAAATGTTTTCACTCGCAGTCAAATATAAAATGAATTTACTTTTAGAGTCATCTAATAGTCTGATAAACAGTGACGGGCAAAATAAAGTAACACTATAACTATAACATAAGTAGATTCTTCCAACAGGACAATGCTACTGCTCATACAACAAATCAGACTTTTTAAACGAATTTTACGATAAAATAGTTTGCATTTTTAAGTTTAAACTTTCATACTGTCAACTTGATATTTAATAGAGTAAATAATTAATTTAATCTAAGAAAAGCGGTTTTGCGTGCATGATCAACTTTGGTTCTTTTTTGATCTGACGGTATATTACAACTAAATGCGTAGAAGTTACTTCTTAGAAATATAATCAGTTTATAAAGCACATTCTCCATTTAGGCCTACATATATTTGCTTACAAACGAATTTGAAAAAGGTTTCTCGCAGTAAACAATTAAACAACGTGCTGTTGATACTCGTAATGCTGAAATCGACTGGACGAACGACATCAAATCCAATTCTGGGAAAGCAACAGACATGTTTTGGCCGGCAATAGTCCTCGAAGATATTACAATTAGGGGGTGCCATACTACCCAAAAATTTAAATAGGATACGTTGCACAAAACTCATAAATATCAGTTCACTCCTATACATGTCCGCTGATTCACAGCAGATCAAAACTGTGCAATATTAAGATTACGTAACAATATCATTTTGACTGCGGAGGCTTACTATCGATGGTTGACTGTTAACAGCTGATAGTTATTCACCAGGAAAACAGTTGTGCAATGATCAAATTCTTTAACAAATAATCACTAGTTAACCTTGACCGTGTAATAAACCGGCCGCAGACGTGTAACCGCACATCCGTGACTTCTACTGAACTTCCTTTTTGCATACTCTGTTGTGTGTGCCATACGAAAAAAACACGACTGCCCTTGAGCATTTTTTGATAGCCTAAACATTCGAAATATTCTGCAGTGAAAGTGTTCAATTCAGTAATAATATTTCATGTCAACAAATGAACACCTTTTTTTATTTGACTGTGGTTTCTTGACCTACGACACCTTCAAGAACTGACCATGAATTCCAGTTATTTCGCACGGCCCAGACATCTGAATCGTAACGAATGTCCTTCACATTCACATTTCAAGTAGGAAAAAACAGGTTTACTGAACTTACTATACTCCCAAATAAAAACGAGACGACTATTCTGAGCTTCTTTAATGGATATTTGTTACAGAAGCTGCTTACATATCAATTGCAAGTCTATCATCACCAAGTAATAACAAAAAAAAAAGAAAAAAACAATAAATAATATCAGAAACAAAACTTAATTCTATCAGAAATGCCCTTTCCTGCATAAATAAATATAAATTACAGTGGTTCAATTAAATAAAAACCTAAAATGAGACTGAAGGAAAGTGTTTTTCCTTCTGAATTCCTTCCGATGAAAATAATTCTGCTGTAGCCACCTAGAGAATAATAAATAATAGTTACTGATGAAGATTTTCTTGGGGCCCGAGGCAGAAGACTGAACTATGCCTAGTTATTTCTTCTTCTGTGCCTTCTCGGCAGCCTTCGTTACTTTACCAGCAGTATCTTTGAAGTTGACAGACTTTATAACGCCGACGGCAACCGTTTGCCTCATGTCACGCACAGCGAAACGTCCCAACGGTGGAAACTCTTGGAAAGATTCGACGCAGAGTGGCTTAGACGGTACCAGATTGACGATTGCAGCGTCTCCAGACTTGATAGATTTTGGATTTTCCTCGGTGGTTTTGCCGGTACGACGGTCGCATTTCTCCTTGATTTCGGCAAACTTGCAAGCAATATGAGCAGTGTGACAATCCAAAACTGGAGTGTAACCGTTGGCGATCTGACCGGGGTGGTTCAACACGATGACTTGAGCGGTAAAATCTGCAGCTCCTTTGGGAGGATTGTTCTTCGAATCTCCGGCAACATAACCGCGACGCAATTCCTTAACTGAGACGTTTTTGACGTTGAAACCGACGTTGTCGCCAGGCACGGCCTCTTGCAAGGCTTCGTGATGCATTTCTACGGACTTTACTTCAGTCGTCAAACCTACTGGCGCAAATGTCACCACCATGCCAGGCTTCAAAATACCGGTTTCAACTCTGCCTACGGGCACCGTGCCAATACCGCCAATTTTGTACACATCCTGCAACACAACAAATGTATGACTGTAATTTCTGCTAAACACAAGACTAAAAATTGTTGTAGTTGTAATGGTTTGGATATTTTTTTAATAATTGTAGTAGTGATGTACAGAAGACTGACTTGTATAAATTTCCTTTCAAGTGATAAAAAAAAATACTTGTCTTGCTTTATCAATCTCGTTATTATTCAGTTAATCACATACAAAACTATTCCATTTTCAACGCCAAAGACAGATTTTCGTCACCATTAACTAACTTCATAGTTAAATTGATTAGCAACAATTTTATTTATTTTGATTCTTGAAGAACGGAATGTAAAAAATGAGACTTGGTCATCTCTTGTGTTATGCTGATGTTACCCACTTTTTTTAATGTTGATTTATAAATGGAATAACTAAAAATGTATTGTTCATGTTTTTATACTGCGTCTCTGTCTAGAATATGTCAGTCTATAAATCAGCCTTTAGTTGTAAAAAAGTTACATCATTCAGTTAAAGTTAATGCATTCCCTACAATCTCACAATGAATATTTAGTGACCAAAGGAAATAAATTATCCTAAATGTGCCACACCATTGTCTATTATTAAATTTTGGAATTTGTATGAAGAAATATCCATTACATTAATTATATTTTTGGAACACATGAGAAAATAAGTGTGAAAAGAAGAAAAACATTTTAAGGTGTTTTAATTATAAAACCTAAAAAGAGGCCAATCAGAGCATGTCATAATATACGTGGCGAGTCATAAAGCGCGTAGTCATCGATATCTCATTAATTCTTAAGAGATAAATAAAATTTTAATATACAGCACTTAATAAAAATAAATAAATAAATACAACAATTAAACTTTACGATTTTAAAATATCGATATTTGGATTTTTTCAAATAGAACACCTGCATCTTACTCTACTTTTGTTCTTTTTCTTTCAATGTGTCAGTTGTCCTTAATAACCAACTTTAAATATAGATTAATATAGATAATGCTTAATACAAATAAAAATGCAGTAACAAAATACAGGTGTTGTACAGATTTTAAAAATAACCCTATTAGTTTTTTTTGTGAACAGTTCCACTGCTAAAAAATTTCAAGAAAATTGGAATAACTTGGTGACGTCGCATTGGAACTGTGAAAATAAACTATGGTCATAAAGCCTTTGAAGGTGTCAACTGGAATGTATAAAAATACATAGGATATTCCATTTGGAATAAATATTTTAAATATTATTTTGTTATATGGTCCCCAAAGAACTGCAATTTTAGTATGCCTTTTCTATTTCTAATAATTAATGAAATATAGAGCTAGGCGCGCTGTTTAGTGACTCACCACTATTTAAGTATATTTATAGAAGTCATTAATAAAAACATGATGCGTCACAATTTTGTTTTCATATCAATAAAACTGTGATAATGCTTTTTTAATAAGCCTATATTTTAAAGAAGTATACTCACGTGGGTATAGTAATGCCACTTATTAAAAGTTAGCAGCATGCTTTGGCAAACAGTACGTTTTTTAACAATTTTCCAATTTCAGGGCTAAGATAATTTTCTGGTGATTGTATGCGGAAAAATTATGAAATTGATAGTAGTATGTTTGGGTTGGTTTAATCAGAAATGAAGGCATCTAACATTCTCTAAATGTACCTGTATTTCAATTACGTTTTTTTTTAATGTCCGTTGTAAAATCAATACAGTAATACAGTTGGAGCAACCTGCGCAACAAAATTTTTGAGAAAATTCCAATGTGAAAAATTTTCTTCAAAATAACTGCTAAAAGAAAAGTCTCTAGTTTTGGTTGTTATGGGGTTGTCATATTTTCCGAATGTAAATTTCTATGACTTGTTTTTTCAAATTTTAATGAAATTTTTCATCAAGTATTTTCAAAATCAACATTTTATGGAAATTTCGAAACGCGGTTTTCACCTCTGTTTTCAGCTTATAAAACATTATAAATCGTAGGAAAAACACTGTTTACTTTTTAATCGAAAATGAGATACAGTAAAAGCAGGTTTTGTTGAAGCAGTGATGAGAACCGCGTTTCAAAATTTCCTTAATAATCGAGATATCGATTTTTAAAAATACGTGATAAAATTTCATCAAAATTTTTAAAAGATAACAATAAACAGTTTAAAATTTAAAAATGATCTAAAAACAAGTTATTTATTTAGATTACAACGAATCCAACACGATTAGTTTTGTTATCTCGAATTTGATTTAAATTTTTAAAGATTCTCCATAGTACATTTTACTTTCTACACGCATAAAATACTTTCAGCCTGTGTACATTGGTAATTTCACACTTTTGGGAATACCAATCAAAAAATTTTAAGATTTGTTAATTTGTTTTTAAAATGTTGATGTAAAAAATAAGTTCTTTTACAAAATTTATTCTCAAAATTTTTATCGAACGCATTTTCATTTTAGGAAATATTTCTTATACGTATATGATCATTTTAGTAGCTACTATAGATTGAACATAATTGAAAATCAAACACCTTTAAAATTAAAGCGTTATCAAAAAAGTAAACACGAAGTTTCTATTAGTTCTGCATTTTAAAAATAGATATTATGTAATTTGTTCTTATTAACATTTTAAAATAACATTCACCTTGTGAAATGGTAGTAACTTTTGATAAACCAAATTATTAATTTTAAAAGTTTGTAAATTAATTGAGAATGAAACTCGTAAAATCACCTACGTAATGTTTGCGCTTTGTCACAACTGAACGGAGTAAATTCCAGTTATAATTCGGGCCGGCGTGTCAGGATTTCGAAATGAATGCATATGAAAATAAATTTTTGGAACATACCTGAAGGGGAAGACGTAGAGGTTTCTCTGTTGGCCGCGATGGAGGCAAGATAGCATCCAAAGCTTCGATGAGCGTTTTTCCTTCCGCCTTTCCTTCTTTGCGTTCAACGCTCCACCCCTTGAACCACGGCATCTTATCAGAAGCTTCCAGCATGTTATCTCCATGCCAGCCCGAAATGGGTACGAAAGCAACAGCTGCAGGGTTGTAACCGATCTTCTTGATGTAAGACGAGACTTCCTTCTTGATTTCCTCGAAACGCGTCTCGGAATATGGCGGCTCGGTGGAGTCCATTTTGTTGACACCCACAATAAGCTGTTTCACACCCAGGGTAAAGGCCAAAAGGGCGTGTTCGCGGGTTTGGCCGTTTTTAGAAATGCCAGCCTCGAATTCACCTGTGCCTGCGGCGACTATAAGCACAGCACAATCGGCCTGTGAGGTGCCTGTGATCATGTTTTTAATGAAATCTCTGTGCCCTGGAGCGTCAATGATGGTTACGTAGTATTTCGCCGTTTCGAATTTCCACAGGGCAATGTCGATGGTGATACCGCGTTCACGTTCAGCTTTAAGTTTATCCAACACCCATGCATATTTGAACGAACCCTTGCCCATCTCCTGAGCCTCCTTCTCGAATTTCTCGATGGTACGCTTATCGATACCGCCGCATTTGTAGATCAAGTGACCGGTCGAAGTCGATTTGCCGGAATCGACGTGCCCGATGACGACGATGTTAATATGGATCTTTTCTTTACCCATGGTTGATTATAGTCGCGATTTCCTGGAAAAATGGGCAGGGTGAGACCTGGGCTTTGATGAATGAAATGTGATTTAATAACGATGGTTAAAATTTATAGTTTGCAAGTTTTTACCACTAGAAAATAGTGTACTTCCAACTCACAATATAATCCGGTACGAGTTAATTTATGATTCGATTTTTGTTTCGTGTAGTAACTGCAGGGTTGTTCAATAACCCTTGCACAAGAACGATCTGCGCCTAGAAACCGAATCACATACCAACCCGTCATGCAGACTAATTTAAGAGGGTGAATCAGAGAAGAAAGGCGACTGTAAGAAGTATTTAAATCTAGCGTCGCGGAGGGTGAAACAATAAATCTTGAAATTCTATTTTTACTTCTCGTCGAGAAATTCTAACGAGGTGATGTTATAAAATTCAGCGGCAGGAGGTATTTTTATTTTTCAATTAGAATTTTACAGCCTATCTTTGTTGGAATTTACTAGAAACGATCAAGTATCCAACAGATTATTCAAAAGTCGCAACTTCGACCGTGAGGCTCACCTCTTGTGTGAACGGTCCTTTAGAATGCAAAATAAAGGGAAATTAAAACCGTTAGCAACGAACTGGAAAATCAACGGTGCTAGGACGACCTTGACTCAATTCGCTAATAAGGAGAATAAAGCGTTACAAAATGTTTAAATAAAATTCGGTGGAAAGAAAAGTCTGTTATCGCGATAGAGAATGTATCTGGCGATTGCACCTGCACAACACCTTTGCTACCAAAGGTGTATTTAATATTTAAAAACCAATTTTCCGGCCGGCTCGAAGAAATGCGGCTTTGAACAATAGGGCGGCCATATTGTGATGCAATATACCCAAATCGATAGCAATATTATTTCATAAAGCCAAATCGGATAACTATTGATTTTGGTCTTGAGAGCAATACATTTCCTTCCATTCAGCGCTGTGCAAAATCGATATTGGGATAGGTCTGAAAATTTGCAACATTGCCATTCTACCGACACAACCTCACTTACCACAATTAAAGCCCGCAAATTACTGCTTAATTTTTATCGAATCACAAATATGCACTGTGCATACCGGTCTTTTGTATTGAAGTGAGAATGATTTTGTCCAACTGACAGAAATTTAGTTTTACACGAAACGAAGTAAATTCAACGAAAAACGTCAGTTTTCACTTGACACAAGCCTTCGAACTTGCAAGGTTTTCACAAACTGGACCATGAAAAGTGGGCGATGGAACAGTTGCCGGCTGGAAATTTTCGCGAAAATGTCGAATAATCAAAGAAAATACCTGTCAAAACAAATTTCTCACGTTTCGACGAGTTGTTTACGATTGTCTGAAGAAATGGATGAATATTTTAAAGACTAATAACTGTTAGTATATGAAAAAATGTAAGGAAGCACCACTTACCTCTGAAACTGCAGCAAGAGAACGAGAAAAACGACAGTGCTCTCCTAGCCGCGAGCAAGCGGAAATAGAAGGAGAATCCGAATGGTGGGGATGTGATATTGATTTATGGTCTGCAAAAAATGGGTCAAATTTAAGTTGTTCAGAATTTTGCACGTAATTGTATGCTCGAAACAATCTCGTCTGTCGTATTTATTGTTAAATTCAACAATGCATTTTTGCTGAAAAATTATCGCAAGGGCGAATAGGGGAAGTGACTAAAATTATTGAACCAATGAGAACGCGCAAAAAATTAGGCAAGGGATGTGACGTTACGGGGTTGAAATCGCCGCGGGAAATTCAATTCAAATTTACTAATAAAACGTCAATAAGAAATAATTTATTTTTTATAAACACTTTGATAATTATTTACACAACAAGTAAATTATGTAGGTTTAGACGGCGATGGCCACAAAGGAAGGTAATTGGTCCATCCTCTTATACCTGGATCCCCTCTTGCCACCATAGTAAGCTTTTGAGTTTCCTCAGGGCTCAACTTCAGTATTGTGTTTAACACCGGTACTAATCGGCTTCTTTCATCCCCACTGTGCAACGTTACAAACTGAAAAATTTAATAATGTAATATTATTATTTATGTTTGTTATCTGGTATTGATATTGTCACTTGTGGTTGTGCTATTCATTAAATTTGTTCAGAGGCCCACAAAAGATAAGATAAACGAAAGGATTCCTTGCCTTTAAAATATAATCTAGTAATGTCAAGGTCACTGATTGTGAATAAATTTAAATGGATTTCTATTAACATAATTAACTGTTTTATACAACCAAAAAATTTAACTGTAAACGAATCACAGTAATACTGAATTTTAACATAACACCTTATCTGATGTGACAATTGTGCAACTTACCTTAAAAACGACGTTTTTAAGATACTCCAAGTTTTCTGCATGTTTTTCTCTCTCCACTGACCTCTGTTGCCTTCTAATTTCCTCCTTCAAAAGCTTATTCATCTGTACATGTTTCGCTAAATCTTGTTCAGTGTCTGCTAATAGAGCAGTTAAGTGAATCACTTTCAATTCTTCTTCACTCAACTGTTTCTTAATGAAGGCCACTTCTTGGTCAGCGTCAGTTCCTAGTAATCTCTCTAGCGGAACCGGATGCATGCTATTTTTGTTAGTATTTTCGGTACTTTCAGAACCCTCCCCTTCTTCGCGATGCATCGTTGGAAGAGGTGGGAATGGTAAATCAGTAGGTGACGGAGCTTTCTCGATTTTACTTTGCAGCTCGATTATTTCTCTATTATGACGGACTTCTTGTTCTGATAACTGTTGTCGATAACACTGGGCTAATGTTTCAGCATGAACCTAAAAACTCCAATAAACAAAAAACAAATTGAAATTTTTTATTTTTTACTTTTAAACTCCTGACGGTTTCTCCGTGTTCGATGATCGTTTGCTGGTGTTTACTGGATAACTGTTCATACACCAACTTAAGATCTTCCATTTCACTGGCTATTTCTTCAAATTTATTAGAAAGTTCTGTTTTTTCTTGTAGAAAAGTAACGTTTTCTTTTCGTAACGTATCAATGGTATCTCTGTAAATTTTAATATTAAATCACACACTAAACAAACGTTAGAAACTTACCTGCACTCTTTTAGTTCAGAGGTGAGAGTTTCACACTTGACTTGTAACGCTGATAATTCTTCAGCAAGCTTTTCTTCTAAACCCACATTACGATTTTGATTTTGTCTTAGAACGCTTTGCGCTCGAACCTTGTAGGTGTCATAATCATTCTGTACAATTTTTAACTCCTCCTCTCTAAGTTTTAGAGTGTCTTGTACTTCTCTTAGTGTCTGTTGTAGACCCAGAACTTGGCTTCTCAAATGTTCCTTTTCATTCTTCAAACTACTTTGGTGTTTTTGATGTTCTGCTATCACCTTTGATAATTCAGTAGACAACTCCTCATTTTCGGAACGTACAGCTTCTATCAACTGAGTCACATCCTGAATTTTATTTTCCTTTTGTAATACAACTTCTTCTAATTCAACTACCTGTTTTTTTAAATTGACCATTTCTGCATGGGTTGCACTCACGTCATTCTTCATTTCTTCAGTACGTTCTTCAAGCAATTTATTTTGTTCTCTAATTGCATTTGACGTACTTTTCTGTGAGTCTAGTTGGCTTTTAAGTTTATTTATTTCTTCTTGTTTCTTATCTAATTTTTGCGATAATTCTTTCACACTCCTTTCATAATCTTGCATTTCCAAATTAAGGACGGAATTTTTCATGCGTTCGTTAATGGAATGTTCCAATGAACTTTTTGTTTGTAGATGACCATCACTTTCAGCTTTCAACGCTTGTTCTTTAGCTTCTAATTCAGTAGTGAGTTTTGCAATTTTAGCTTCAAATTCTTTTTTAAGAACTTTATTGGCTTCAAGTTCTTTTCTAAACGTTTGCACCTTTCCACTTATTTGTTTCTTCCAAGTTTCAGTGTTTGCTTTCTCTTGATTGAGTTCGTCAATTTCTTGTCTAAGTTTGGTGGTGATTTCTTCATATTCTACTAACTTTTGCTTGTCTTTAGAAATTTCGGCCGCTGTTGCATCTAAATTCGCGAGATACTCTTTATTTTGCTTTTTATTTGCTTCCAACTCATCCTGTAATGTATCACATTGTGCTTGTAATGTAGATATCGTTTTCATATTATTTGCGCACTTTTGTTGAACATCGTTTTTCTCATTCTGTTCCTTCAGTAGTTCATTAGATAAATCTCTAACTTTTCCTTTCAACTTGACTGCTAAACTCCTAAGTTTACCATATCTTTCTTCCCACGATCCTTCTAAATCTTTCAGTCTGTTTACTTCTTCTGACCTTGATATTGTTGATGTAGACATGGTTTCGCTTTCTGCATAACTGGAATCTAAATTTGCATTCAATCTTTCTTTCAGATTCTCTATTTCATTCTTCAATTCTGAAATTTCAAGATCTTTTTTAACAATTTTATCATCATCTGCTTCTATTGTTGTTGTGTTTTCTTTACACTTAAGTCGCTCAATTTCTTGCTCTAATTTCTTGATGGTTTCTTCTTTTTGCGAAATGTTATCAACATTTCTATTTGCCTGAGTTTCATAAATTTGCAGTTTCTTCATGACTTCATCACAATGTGCTTGAAACTTTGAAATTGTTTCACCTCTTTCTTTCAATGCTTGGTTCATTTCATTCATCTCTGTAAGCAGTTCAGAATTTTCTCTTTTTAATGATGTTATTGCTTCCTCTAGTTCACTTTTTGAAGAGACAGCTTCGTCAGTCTGAGAATCAGCTTCTTTCATATTGTTACTTTTTTCTTGCAATTTGCGATCTGCCTCCAATAACTCAGCATTTTCTTGCACCAGTTTAAGAATTTCTTCACTTGTTCTGTCTGCTATTTGTTTCTCAGTTTCCTTTGCATGTTCCAGTGCTTCTTGAAGGTCATAATTCTTTTGCTTTAATTCATCCAGTTCTCTTATATGCAAACCATTATCTTCCTCCAATTTTGATATTACTTTCCTGTACTCAATACATATTTTCTCATTCTCTTCAATTTGGTTTTGTATTTCAGTCATATCTTTCTTGCTTTGATCATCAAAAACCTTCAATTCTTCCTGGTGTTTCTGAACAAGCTTTGCCATGTTTTGATCAATATCATCTTTTTCACTAATCAATGCATCGATTTGTAGTTTGTACTCATTTTGTAAACCCTGTAGATTAGCAACTTCTTCAGCCAATTTTTTGTTTTCATTTTTAAAATATTCCAGTTCACAGAGTTCTTTACTTTTTTCATCATCAGTTTTATGTGCTTCTAACTGTTCTAAAAATTTGAGATTGCATTCTTTGAGGATCTTGTTCTCATTTGTGATGTTATTGATATGTTGCCACAACTTTTGAGATGCCACATCTAACTCTTGTTTCCATTCTTCCACTTGATTTGTATATGTCTTGAACAATGCAAGAATTTCATTTTTATTTTCTTTGATAGCTTTGATGTTTCCTGCAAACTTAACAATCTTGCCATGATATGATTTCAATTTTTCCTTCAATGTTTTGTTGGTTACTTCTAACTCCTTAAGTGAGTTTTCCATTACTGATTGACGGTTTTGTGTGTCTGTATTTTCTTGTGCGAGACTTTCATTACTCTCCATTAATTGTCTAATTTGGGTTTTCAGACTCTCATTTTCATTTTCAATTTGACTGTTCTGCATTTCCTTTATTTGTACTTGCAAGTCTTCTACTAATTTAATCTTGATCTGCAAGTCTTCACTCACAGTTAATATATTTTTGTCTTTCTCAGACAAATTCATTTTTAAACCATCCACTTTTTCTTTCAGTGTGTTATTTTCCGTTTGCAGTTTCTTTACTTCCTGTAAGCTTATATTCAGCATTTTCTGCAACTCAGCAGAATGACTGTTGACGGAACTTTCATTTAGTAGCTTTTGATTAGTATCTTCAAGTGTTTTGTTGCTTTTTTCCAATATAAGTAGTTGGTTTTGTTGCTCAAGTCCTAATTTTTTACATTCCTCCATCTGTTTTTCTAATAATTCTAAATGGGATAAAAGCTGTTCATTTTCATCTGTCAAACGTTTAACTTGTCTTTTGAAAGCCACATTTTCACTATCCAAGGTATTTGTTTTTTCTGCACACACATGTAGATCTCCCAAACAAGTTTGAAGTTTGTTGTTTAAAATACTGTTTTGCTTTTTCAAATCTTCGATTGTATTTACATAGGTCAATTTTTGTTGGGTTAACTTTTCAATGATTTCGTGGGTGACATTTCGGTCTTGCTCACCTTTCAATTTGTTTCTCAATTCGTTATTTTCTTCCTGGAGTGTATCTCTTGCTTGTTTGGCTTTTTGAGCCAGAATCAAAAGACGCTCACATCTTTTGATTAGGTCTTCCCTGGACAAACTTTCTAAAGCAACTTTTTTTCCACTTTCACTGGTTGAATTTACTTCCATTTTTATTATTCTTACTTAGATATAATATATTTCTATTACTACTTTACATTTTTATTTTACGTTCGTCGGTTTTTTTGACACATCAACACTATTTTGACGTTTTGTGATACAAGTGACAAGTGATAAAATGTCGACGTACCAACGAAATCACAGAAATGAAACTAACAAAAATTACTATATCTTTAGTGACATTTTACTTTGTTATTGTGTCACTACAGGATTTTGACATTCTTTTGACATCTTTGACAAAACACGAAACATTATGAATCTGACGTCATATATTTATTACATCCATCCATGTTGCTACTATTCTGACGCTATTTATTTTATAATTTTGCATTATGCACATAATTACTAAATATTGGAAATTATATAAAAATCCATTTTGTTTGTAATTTATTACGATTTTCAAAGTTTACATGAAAATTATTTCTTAGAACATAACCTTAAAAATTAATACGCTCAAAATGGATTTTGATATGAACGATGTATCGGATCAAGACTTGGTAATTTGTATTTGTAGCAGCAGGACAGAATTTTACTGTATTTTATAGGTTACTCAATGGATAAACAATGCCGCTGTGGCTCATAACGCAACAGAAAAATTGGAATATCTCCACAAGTTGCAAGAAGTATTAATTCGCAAATCTCCGCAACTTCTGCAGAAGTTTTTACCGAGTATTTTAAATTTTACCACAGATAAAAATGGCGATGTCAAAAAAGCCTTGGTGGGTTTTATCGAAGAATTATGGTGAGTTGAAATGTGTCTTGAAATAAAAGTTATTTTGTAATTGTTTAGCAAAGTCCGTGAGTCATTATTGCCAAAAGTTATGCTGACACTCCATATGTTATTATGTGATGAATCCATTGCCGTACAAAAACGAGTGATCCAGGCTTTAATCACCATATATCGAAGAACCTTAGCATGGATGTGTAAAGCATCATATGTGACTGAAGAAATGGAAAATGCATGGCGACAGTTGTCGGCAATTAAGCTGGAAATTGCAAATATGATAGACAGTGACAATGATGGAATACGAACCAGTTCTGTGAAATTTTTAGAGTGTGTGGTGTTACTTCAAACATACCCTGATCAAGCCGAGAGCAACAAACCAAATGATTTTTCTTTAGATGATGTACCTTTAACTTTAAAAATTGCCAGAAGAAGAAAATTAGAAGAGGAAGCAAAGTAATCACATCATTTTTTTTATGTACTTATGTATAATGGAAATGTGTTCTAGTACTCTCTTTGAACTGCTTTTAAAGTTTCATGGATCACCACACATCAGTAGTGCAAATTTATTAACATGTTTGGGTGTTGTTACCAATATTGCAAAAAATCGCGCTGAATTTATGTCGAGAGTTGTATCAGCTATTGAGTCTCTTTACAATAACCTACCTCCAACGTTAACAACAACTCAAGTAAATTCAGTGAGAAAAAAATTGAAAACTGAATTGTCTGGGCTTATAAAACATCCTGCAGCATATGAATTTGTTGAAAAATTAACTCCAATGCTGACAGATTTAGGTAATGATAGTTACTAGTTTAAATATATGTTTTTAAATATGGTTACTTCAGGTTATTCTCAACAAGAAATATCAAAAATGGTACCAAAAGCCGAGGAGAGAAGAAAATATTGTAAACGTACACTTTCAATGGAGTCATTGCAGATTTATAACAAAAAACCTCGATTAGATCCACAGATTGATTTTGATAATGATACAAACGACAGTGAACCGCAGTCACTTCAAGAAATAAATGAGCAATTTGTGATGGAGAATTTTACATTAGAGAAAGCTGTGCAACTAATTTTTTCATCTATTAACAAATTGCCAACTACAATGCCCTTTGAATTTAGCAAAGAATACAGTAAATTTGTTGATTCAGGAAGAGTAGGACAAGTGGAGATATTAGCAAAAATTTTAGCGACACAAATGACTGAAGCAAGTGTATCTCCTCCTGGTAAATTTTTCATGAAAAAGAATGAAGAAGTTAAACCACCAGAGAAAGAAATAGAGGAGGATAAAGATGAAAAGGAAAAGGTGAGTTGTGTGGTAGGTAATAACTTAAAATGAATTAATATGTCAATTTTTATATACACTTACCGCCACGAAAAACGGGCCACCAGTATTTTTTTTCAAAGATCCGAAAATGTGCAAAACAAAGTACGATTTCGGCTGCAATACTTTGATGTTGTTATGCAACGTTTATTGTATTTTTTTATCCTAGAAAGAACTTAAAAATATATATTTTAATAGAAAATGATAAAAATTCAATAATCAAACAAAACTGAAAAAAAATTAAAGTTTCCAAAAAAAGCAAAACCAATGATCATTGACACACTCTTTAAGGACGTCAATAACGGGTATTTCCCCCACGAACCTATAAGACTGCTGCCATTCTTTAGGGGATTCCAATATAAATAAATAGTCTGTTTATTCTTGTTGGATATTCTCTCATTCCTTTAAACGTACATTCTGAAACTCATCTAAAGTATGGGGTGCAGATACACTCGATTAATATGCTGGTCAAGAAACAATATCAAAAATAAGCATAGTAAAAACGTCGAAGCACTGTACTTCGAAAAATGTTAGCTGGCCCGTTTTTCATGCCGGTGAGTGTCTGTAGAAGCATAAAAGTAATTGGATCCATTATTTTGTTTTGGTCAAAAATGTCATTATAGAATGTACAGACCTTCATAAAAATATGTGGAAAATTATTTTTATATCTCAGTTTCATGTTTCTCGTTTCCGTGTGTTTGTCTATCTTTTATTATCGTTACACAGATAATCACTACTAAACTACTGAACCGATTACACTAACAATTTCATTTATATTTGAACATTATTATGAAGCCGGGAAATTATAACCAAAGTTCGTGTAATCAGAACATTTAAAAAAATTATACATTATGTCAACTTATTATTAAGGGAATTCCCATGACATATGTTCAAGCTGACATGAAAATTGAAGCATTATACATACTTTATGGTTAATTAAATACCCTCTATCACATTCAGGAATAGGTGTAATACTTGCAGAGCTATCAGTTTGCTTGTACCATGCCTTATACAACATTTAGTTATATTCATTTTGAACAGAAAACTTTTCTTGATAAATTCACTTGAGATGTCTCCTTTCACAGATAATAAAAACCAATTTTCCAATATATGCCTTACAATGGAAAATGTTCCAGTTTGCAGTAACCAGAAACATCGAAGTACGTTGCTGAAAGTTTCACACAATTCATAATTTTTAGCAGTAAATCGATTTAATTAGATTCTTATTAAACAACAAAAAAAAAGCAAAAATTGCTCATATGTATGTATGCATATAATCTTCTAAGCGTCATAAAGATCACTTAAAACAATGAAAACTGAAACCATATTTATGCCTTGGTTTTAAGGACTCAGTCAACTTTATGAACTGAATTTCAGTATTTTCCAGTTTAGTTAGTTTTAGTATAAAATTTGTTTTCAGATGAACAGATAGAATTTGAATAATTTAGGAGATATTTGTACATACTGGACTTTTTTCAAAATTTCAAAAACTAGATTAATAACATGCTAAGAAGTATAGAGTTAAAAGTTTTGTAACAATTATTACATCGCGGTTTCTCTTCCTACTAGTTAACAAATGAAATAATATCTTATAATTCTCTGTAAGAATAAAACATATTTTTTTAGTATATAGAATATATATTTATTTAAACAGTACATACATATTTACCACGTGAATAGTTCTTAGAAGTTAGAACTATTATAAAAAGTATCTGCTTTATATTTTTTACATTATTGGTTTATATTTAAAAACACATTTGCGGGTTTATGTCAGTTATATTGTGTACTTCATCTTAATGTTACATGCCGGCTATGCGGAGGACATGAAATTATATTTCATAAATCGTAAAAAAATTCCTAAAGGTTAACACTGTCGCATATAATGATATTATTTCAATAAGAGCAGATTATCTAGTAAATGGCGTGAAATTAAAAAAAGTTGCATTGTTTATACACTTGACGATTGCCACGAGCATAGCAGTTTGATGCTACTTGTATTGAATGTTATGTAATATTCAATATCTCATTAAATCTAACTTTTATTGCTTGTCGATATTATTACTTGTGGACGGAGTATTGTCTGTGAAATAATCAAGGAAACAGTTTGTAGGTACATAATACCCTTTTGATATTAGCTATTTTCATGTTGGTAACGAGACTTCATTATAGTGATTAGAAAAATGTGAAGCAGATTTTTTTTAATGCTATGGAAATATTCTTTCCAGAAGTTTTTACGTGGATATTCTGCATAATTAAGGAAATTTCTTACGGAACTGCTAATATTTACACTTCAGAAATGTTTAATAACAAACTTAAGAAGTCAGAAAATTCAAAAATATAATAGAAAATAAAATACAGATGTGTTAAAAAAACTGGAAAATACCTATAAAGAGATAAAGGTTAACATCTGTTCTGATTGTATTATGAGGAAATCCCAAGATACGATATCGTCGTATTTCCGTTTAATATCGCTCAACACAGGAAATCTTTGCGTAAAATGAAATTTTGTGTACTAAGTTTCACCCACGATTTATGGCGTGATATAAAAAAATTGGTCTAAGGTTATTTAGATAGAATTTTTGTCAGCTCTGTCGATTTTTATTAGGCTTATAATCTCCGAAACTACCAGACCGATTGTCGTCAAATTTTATCTGTATGTTAGAAATATGAAACGACTACCAAAAATTTGTTTGATCATGTTTACCAATAATTTGGTGGCGTCTGCTCATCATGTACTTCTGCATAAACATGTGCCATAATTTTGTTTATTGTTATGATAATTTTTATTGTCTAATTCTTCCTCTTCTTTTGATTTTTAGATACATAAATACGAAAATACGAAGTCTGACGCGCTTGATCAGAATTTCTCGAGTTCAGTGCAGGTCACTGTTCAGGGAAATGGATAAATTTAAAAAAGTAACAATTTTTAAGGCCAGTCCCTACCTTTTTTTTCTTCTGGCATGTTCGGTATATTTTCAGAATGTAATATCTCTATTATCAACAGACTTATTGTTATGAAATTTTAAATATAACTTGTCCATAATTTTCTCTATAAGTACAGTTTTTAAAATATTTGTATCGTCATCATTCTTTTTAAAATGTTGGTGAAATTTTTTGTCGCGTATCTTTAAAAATCAATATCTGAGTTATTATGGAAATTTCCGAACGAAGTTGTCACCACTGTTTTTAGCTTATAAAATTCTACAACACATAAAAGAAACATTATAGGCTTTTTTTGTCAGAAATGAGATGCAGTAAAACAACTTGTGTCGAAAAAACGTAAGAGAAGCTTTGACGATTCGTATTCTACACTACAATAATAATACAACAACTTACACATGAAATACAGGACTTTTTCAGGACTTATGTAATGTGGGACAATACATTTGACGTATGGTCACTTTACACAAGCCAATTGCGTAGAGTTGTTGAAAGAACGTCAGCTTCGCAGATAGAAGGCCTGAGTTCGAATTCTATTCCCATTTTTTTATTGGTGAAATCAAAAATGGTTCATCCTATTTTCTCGAAAATTTGATGATACTGTACTGTTATTAGTATTACACTGCATCTAATCAAATTAATACATGTGTTTTTGCTAAAATGTTGATAACATCATCACAAAAAATTGTTGTGAAAAAACTCCCTTGAAATATATGCATAGCATGCTTATTTTTTCTGTCATTAGAATAATGCATTTGTATTCGTGCAAAATCGGATCCTCGGACCTTTTGATAGCTGTTGTCTTTGATGTTTCGATGTGCATTGTTGTTATTTAGAATTTACATGGTAACTCAAAACAATTCATGAAATGAGGCAATTTATTTTATTGATCAAATCAAGAACGGCTTATTCTATTTTCCCGAAATTAATTAGCCAGTCGCTCAGTAGACTCGATTACAATACTTCCTTAGCTACCATCGGGAAGTAAAACACGATCAAAGGCAGCCATGGATTTTTAAAGATTTGTCCATTCCCGGTAGTGGTAGTACGTTATTATTATTGTATGAGTAAATTATGATAGCAATTCTTCACGAAGACGACGTTTGCGAGTGAAACAAATTATCTGAGCGAGTAATGGGCATAATTGTGAATGTGACACTATACTTTTGCCACTCTTAAATAGAGAAAAAAATATAACATTTTTAAAATGGAAAACTGTAAACAAAGGACATCAAGTAAATAAGCAAGGCGATGGCAACACTACCTCTCGTCACCCCTGTAATTGGCTGAAGGTAGTGAAATACGATCTGGAAATATGGGTACTATTACTAATCGAAATAATTGTAATAATGATAATATTGTTACATAGTAGTAGAAAAAATGTCGTCTTCAACCGAAAGCATTTTAAGCTCAACTTTTCAAATCCATGACTGCCAACGGTCATATTTCTGCATCGAATTATATGAAATGATACTAAAAGAAAACAAGGGCAAATAAATTTGTGAACTTATCTTCTGCGCTGCTGAGCACAATAAGTCGTAAATATAAAATGCTTTGACTTTTGTTTTAGAAAAATATGTTAGGTGACTTGGCCAGAATTCACACGTTGTTTAGCAAATTTATTCGAAATGTTTTATAAAAATATTTAAAATTTTTTATTATTTTGTGTGCACTCGGAATATTATTTTTAGTCAAATTATTATCCTGAATTGAGGTAGTAAAAGTGTAAATTGTATTGTTTGTTTACAGCTTCAGAAGAAAGAGAGAGCAAAAGTTCCCAGAATAAAAACTTTAAAATTATCTGAAATAACGAAACCTCTCGAAAAAGATGCGAAAGAAAAACTGTTAATAAGTTCAATCACCAGATTGTTAAGTGCGGACAAAACAGCAGCAAAATGTTTGTATCAAAAATTAATCACCACGATAGCAGCTTGTTTTAGTCCAACCGTACGACAAACCGTACTAACTTTCCTGTTGGCTGATTTACGCACACATGTTGATCTTGCTTTAGCATGGCTTTTTGAGGAGTATAGCATTCTACAAGGCTTTTCACGTGTTCCCCCCCTACGTAAAGATACTAAGCTAGACAAGAGCTACAACACTCTTCTTTGCACATTCATAAATGTTTCCACTAACGATTCGGTGGTATTTTCTCGATTATTGCTTGAGGCACCATTAGTAACCGATGAAGCTCTCGAGAAACTTCATCAGTTGTGTAGAGAAGAAAAAAAATGTACTTGGGCTTTAACCCTACTCCGTGATTTAACGGTACGGAAACCGCCCAAGCAGTTAATGTTTCTTAACGCTTTACTCTCGTACACAACGTATGAATCAAACGCAATAAGAGATTGTGCAATTGCTCATGTTTTGGAATTGCACCAAAGGCCTGATTTGAAACTGGTCATAGAAGAATTTGCTAGGATGAACTTGGAGTTTTTGAAACTTCAAAGACCACCTGAAAGTTTATGTGGTTTTAGTCAGGGACGGCTGAAGAGTGAAACTTGGGGAGACGATTTCATAAAAGCTTGTTTATTGCCGTACATTTCATTACTCCCTGCTAATGAAAGTCTTATTCATGACTTGGCGAAAGTTTACGTCCAGACTGGGGCTAACATTAAACGGATAATTTTACGGTTGCTCGAAAGTCCGATTAGATCGATGGGTATGGATTCTCCGGAACTATTGAAATTGGTTGAAGAATGTCCAAAAGGCTCCGAAACGTTGGTCACTAGAGTTATTCACGTTTTGACAGATAAGGGACCACCAAGTACGCAGTTGGTTCAGAGAGTCAGAGATCTGTATCATACAAGAGTTTCTGATGTAAGATTTCTTATTCCTGTGCTCAATGGCTTGTCAAAGAAAGAAGTGAGTAAATGTTATTCGAAATCGATTTTTCTTATTAGCTAAGTGTTTTAGGTGATCGCAGCATTGCCAAAACTTATAAAATTAAATCCGGTTGTTGTGAGGGAAGTTTTTAACAGACTTTTGGGCTTACATGGTGATAGTCCTATAACACCGACAGAGTTGTTGGTAGCTCTACATCTAATTGATTCTACGAAAGCTGATTTGAAAACTATTATTAAAGCAACCTCCATGTGTCTTCAGGAAAAACAAGTAACTATGTTTAATATTTTGAGTTATTTGATTTACTACTGTGAATTTCAGGTTTTTACACAAGAAGTGCTGGCAGTAGTTTTACAACAATTGATGGATCAAACGCCTCTTCCTACTTTACTTATGAGAACTGTTATTCAGGCCTTGGGCAGCTATCCAAGGCTTTCAGGCTTCGTTATGAATATTTTGCAACGTTTGATCTTAAAACAGGTACGTTGGTTATAAGGAATTCGGTATACATAACATCAGTCCAGAAATTTGGACTTTTTTCGTTACTGTATTGAAACCAGATATTATAGTTTTGTCAACGCGTTTCAGCATCTACGTTGTATTTTTCTTAATTAATACCCTTTGTTTGTCGTTCGGAAAGCATTGTTTCTTCATCTTCGCCAAAAAATTTATGACGTCATCTACAATGTTCCCAAGTAAACCCTATTTAAAATGTGCAAAATTGTGTATTTCTGTATGTGTGATTTATTAATTTAGTGTCTTAGAGAATAGAACAGTGGACAGAATAAACTAAGTTTAAACTCTTTTTGGGTATTAAGTAGGGTATCTAAAAGTAACGTTTAGAAATCTCTACTCTGTTGGGATAACCTTAAACATTTTTAAATGTTGTTTTTGCGGTTGAAATACAAGATTTAATAAATATTGAAATATATATTTTAGGTCTGGAAACAAAAAGTGGTGTGGGAAGGGTTCATTAAGTGTTGTCAGAGAACAAAACCTCAAAGTTTTGCAGTATTAATGCAGCTACCACCACCGCAGTTGTCAGATGCTTTGGCTATTTGTCCAGAATTAAAAGAACCTTTGAAAGAACATTTGATGAACTTCACGGAAGGACAAAGAACACATATTCCATTGACAGTTCAAGAAATAATTATGGGATCGTACACACAACCCCCACCAGCCGTTCCTCCACCTGTTGGCAGTTTAACAGAAGAAACGGTATATAATTATTTTCTGTTTTGCTTGTGTTTTAAATTCTATATTTTTTAAGCAGACACTGACTGAGACAGGAGGACCGCAAGCGACCGAACCTCTGCCACCTGGGATGGACTAAACTAAGTTAAGTTAAATAATTATCTATTTTATGAATTCAGAAATAAGAATAAAGAGATGATTTTACATTGGTTACATTACTTTATTATGCTTTGAATGTTATTACAACTTTAGCTATTGACGAAACTTGCGAACCTGAATCCGTGTCGGATACGCTTTTTGTTTCTGATTCGGTCGAACTGCAAGTTTGTATAGATCTTGTGGATTCCGTGTGGCCGGAGAGTGTTCGTTTCTCAGGTAGCTTTATTTCGTATTCGATGGTGTAACGAGTTATTAGTGGAGCTACTTCTTGATAACGAATTGACATTTCAACGAGGCGGTGCATAGCGTTTAAGTTTGCATTATAAAGCTGCCGAATTTCTAAATCTCTCTATAAAAATAATGTTATTTCTTGTCAAAGCATATATGTTACCGTACGTCGTATTTTTCACGTTGTTTGCGGTGAAGTTTTTTCTCAACTTGCTTTAAACAATTTTCAGCTCTCTTTACTTTTTCTTCTTTCTGTGCCTTTTCTCTCTGAACTTTTAAATATTCTTCCTCCAAATCCACCTGCTTTTCACGGTCTTGGGTAATTCTTATTTCGAGGTCTTTTAGCATGGCTTTCACTTCTACAACAAAAAAAAATGTTATTCCATCGTATTTCATCTGAAATGAACAATCACATTAGATATTTATATGAAATGTATCGCCTACATTATGCAGTGGCAAACAATAGTATTTAAAAGTCGCTTCTGTTCGTTTTTATAGTAATAGTGGTCCTTCTTCTAGTTGTTTGTTACAAATTGAGTGTTATATGTTCGAATTAAATGAATAAAATTTTGTTAAAAAATATTAAATAGCAGGAGAGATAAAGTGATACCTTATTGGACGTTTCCTAGTTCTTGATTCATTCTCCAGAATTATGAGGGAAAGAAAAAATAAAATTTTAAGCTCACATAAATTAAAAATACCACAATCAAATTTTTCCATCCGTATCAGTCCGCCTGAGTGCTGTAGTTTCACTGCTTATTGAAATTTTTTCGAATGAATAGTTTGCGCAATTTTGTACGAAGAAAGGGTATATGGCAGTTGATATTACAAGAAAAAATTAAAGGCAGAAGAAACCAAAGTCGGAGAAGAATATCATGGTTAAAGAATCTTAGTCATCCACTGCACTATTCAGGCCGGACCAAAGTGATCGGCAACTTCCAAAGAGGATAGGTAACGAAAGAAGAAGAAGAAACAATATCTACAGAGGACTTTATAGGAGCTGCTTTAGTAAAAGAGAAATAAGTAAAAAAACAATTTTCTCACTTATATTCATGCACGGCTTTGAATCGTGGACGTTAATATCAAAACTAAGGAGTAAAATCAAAACTTGCGATATGAAAATAGTAAATAAAAAAGATAGAAGGAATGACAAGGAAAAAGAAAATAAAAAGCTGTGGAATTCGTTGGTTTAAGCATTTTAACAAAATGGAGAAGTCCGAGAACTACCTGGAATATGGAAATTATCAGAGCTCTGGCAAAAAAAGTGATGACATGGATTCAAGCAAAGAGTAGGATGTTAGATAGAAGAGTATGGAGAAATGCAATTGCCTCTAGACCTGCGGTAGAAGAGGTTACCGGATAAGTAAGTAAGTACTTTAAAATCGTTCTTAAAGCGTTACAACACCTAAATGTCCTGTGTTAGCCTTATTAGTATAAATTTGTAAATTTCTGGGTTGCTCATCAAAAAATCTGGATCTTCAAGCAAGTTTTTTGTTCTAAAACTACCACACAGTGTCAAACAATGTGCCACAAGGACATCCTAAACGTCGTGGTACGGTTGCCGCCGTTGAAAAGTACCACACTGGTTTTTGGCGCATTTTTTGAAAATTTAAAAATTCACACAGCCTAAATTAGGTTTTGATTTTAATTTATGGTGAACCTAGAACAAATGCTTCCTTGGCTACTCGTTTTCAGAATAGAAGAGCAGAAGCAGATACTATTTTCAAAAGACTGGAAACTTGTTTTGAGAGTAAATTGGCTACCTTTTAAAAAAATCCGAGAAGAAACAAATACAAGGGTGTTAAATGAAATAACAGTTTTGAAATTAGTAGACAATAATGTTTATCTGAAGTAAGTGCCAGAGCAGCAAGTATTAATTAGTCGATAAATCTATGGTCATTAGTCCGAGAGTTAAAACCCGTAGATCATCTTAAAAGATTATCCTTCTGCATTTTTTTTGTACAAATGTTTAACACTATTTTTACGATTTTATTGTTTTTTCAAAAATTTTCAATTAGTGGTGGATTTATCAAGCATAACCATAAGTATTATAGTGAAGAGAACAGCCACCGGATTAGAGAAAGACATTTTCAAATAGTTTACTCTACAAACGTTTGGTGTGGGACAATTTTTATTTAAATTTTATTCAAACTAATTTAAAACCATTACTACTCGAAAATGTTAATTTGGAAATACGACAAAATTTATGGTTTCAACAGAACGATGCTTCTCCGCATTATCATAAGAGGGCGCGGGATTACCTTGATGTGGCCTTCTCGAACAGGTGAATTGGGAGAGGGTCTACTAATCCTTGACTCCCAGAAATCCAGGTATTACACCTTTAGATTTTTTTTTATGGGGCACAGTTATAGAAATAGTTTACCAAACTTCAATTAGCAGCGTGGAACATTTAGAAAATAGAATAAAAAAAACATAGAATTAGAATGTATTTCCCAGATATTTTAATGCGGGTGATAATGTCATTTTGGGATAGAATTGGAGCATGTGAAAGAAATGGACAGCATTTTAAGAGCCATTAGATCATTACTCATCACATTAATTAAATACATTTTTGTTATAAACTTCAAAAGTGCTGTTTTTGTCAAGATTATGACAATGTCTGCTATTATTATACATTATTAACGTTTTTCATAAATAAAAATACGTCTATAAAACCTCTGAAAATATTTTCTGGGTTGCATTCCTAATTCTGTTACGACACCTATGGGCTTTCTCCTCATAGGTGACGGCAGCGCTCGAATAAAGAAAAGCCTAGAAGCGGAAGTCGCTATGAATACTCCAGAAAAACCTCGATCACGAAATATCTAGAAAGGAACGTATGGGTTTAAATAGACGCCACCTTCGAGAGTAAGTCAGTCTAGTCTAATCCAGGAGTCGATTAATGAGTTCAAATTAAGTTGAATTAGAATTATTCGTTGTTATATTTTCGCTCTGTGGTTAGTCGTATAAATTTGTATTACTAAAGAATAAATTGAGTTTCACCCACGCCCATTTTTGCCGATCAACGTAACAGTATTTTATAAATCAGAAGACTGTTATGTCTTCTGTATCAAGGGGTTACGACATAAAAAAAGATTAGAGAAGGTCTTGATTTTAAAACGGTAGGTGAATTGTAATGTCAAGCTGTTGGTGTGTTTTAGGTTCCAATTAAATCATGCGTTGACACCCAAATTTGTGTCAAGAAACTACATTTTAAACTCCAAAACACGTTGTCAACATGGTGTTTTCCTTGTCTATAGTGCAATAACATAACTAGAACAATTTGTACTATTTAGGTTAAAGTTAGTGTTACCTTCCACTTCTTGTCGTTTTTCTGCTAGTTTTTTTCTGTTTGCCCTTAATACGTCATTTACCATTAACAACTGATTTTCCAAAACTTTCATTTCTTGAATCTCTGTTCCTAAAATGTAACATTGAATTGTTAAATAATGGAGACAGATGCACAATTTTGCATTACATTAATGTGTGGAAACCGAGGAATAATGTCACACGGGCTCAGTGGAGTTCGAATCGTTGTCTTCCACTTTTCGAACGGGGGTTCTAACCGCTAGACGATCAGAACTGTGATTATCTCTCCTCACTTTCCACAAATGTTAAATGTGTTTTGGCGCATGTTGTTATGTTTGAGTTATCATATTTAAATATTTTAAATCAACAATTCATTAAACTAATTATTTAAAATTTTCTGAACAAAATTCGAGGCCATAAAAGATAGCAAAATTCAGTTTTCAAAATATAAAAGAACACGTTATAGTCGGTATTGTCAATCAATTCACGCGTGTTTATCGTTTTAAGTTCAAAAACAAATAGTATTGTCATTTTTCAAAAAAAAATCTGATCTAAAAAACTTATTTCAGCTCTCCTCGAACAAAAACTTGCATTTACATATTTGAAACAGTAGATCCTGGAGTTACTTACCCTCTTCTTCAACAGCGGAAAGACTTTGTTTAAAAGCTGCGTTTGTTAAATTTACCACTTTCAATGTGTTTTCCATTGCAAGAATTTCTTTTTCGGCTGTTTTAATTTTTATGTCAAGTTCATCACCTTCTTGCTGAAGTAAAAATTTTTCCTGAGCATTCTTAATTTTAAAATGCGTAATGGACAGAGTTTGTCCATCTTCATCTTTTCCCATGGTCATTAAAGTGATGTCGTACTTTTTCTGAAATTGTTCAAGTTTAATGCGGCGTTCGGCGATGTCACATTTTAATCTTCCTTTATCTTCACTTAGATTTCTTCGTTTTACAAGTAGAATGTCTTTATTTGTGCTTATTTCTATCAATCGTTCTTGCGTTGCCTATAAAAAATCGAAGATTTGAAATAATTATTTGTTAAGTTTGTTGTAAGTGTACCTGTTCTAGAGTGAGTTTAAACTTTTTCATCGAATATATACTTTTTTCTTCTTTTTTCATAGCTTTATTTAGTTGGTTAACACGGAGGCGTAGGATGTTTTCTTCAACTTGTTTTTCTTGTATACTGGCTTTTAATGTTTGTAGCTGCTTTTGCCCTCCTTCGTAACTCAAATTTTGATGTTGCATTTTATCTTTTAAAACAACTAATTGACTTTGATCAGCTACAATTGCTGAAGTTAATCTTCGCATGTCGTCTCTGATTTTATTAACTTGATCTTTTAACATGTTTTTAATCTGTAAAGCTATTTTAGACAATTGTCTATAAATATAGTTTAAATCAAACCTCTGCGCGTTCGCCCATCGTATTTTCTAACTCAAGAAGTTTTATCTCAAGTTCTTCAGTAAATTCATTGTGGATGACATTTTCTTTAATAAGAATTTTTCTTTGTACTTCATCTATTTTATAATCCTTAAACAGAGTTTAGTTAAACTGCAGTAAAAATGTTTGAGAATCTTACCAGTTCGTACGCATCTTCTTTTCTTTTACCCAAAGCTTTGCGTTGATCATCGTTATGTTTACGTAAATGGTTGATATTGTTAACTACTCCGTTAATATCCAGATCTCTCATTTTTCCAATACTAAACTGTTCCTGTAATTCTTGCTGAACTCTGAAAAATATGTTCTGTAACAGTTCACAATCGCTTTGCAACGCATTTTGTTGTTTCTGTTCATAATCAATCAGTTTTTCCAACTGTCTAGTACGTTCGTCAGCTGACATCGCCGATTTCTTAATAGCTTCATTTTTTTCCCTCAAAGCGTTGGCACGAATTTTAATATTTTCTATTTTATCTTGTGTGTTTGCGATTTTTTCGTGTATAGTTTTCTTGTTCTTGCGCTCTTTTTCGAGTTGGTGTGCAATGTGTACCATTTGACGCCTCACTGTGTCAGCCTACGAAACAAGAGTGATTGTCATTTAGTCATTTACTGTGTCCAGTTTACCTGACTATGTAGGAGTAGTGTGTATTGGCTTAATTCATGAAGTTCTCGTCGTAATTTTGAATTTAAATAATTGAGTTGTTGCTTTTCGTGTTCTAGATCGTTGTTATTTTTAAGTTCGTTCTCGTGAAACTGCTTATGTTCCTGCAATTTTTCTTGTTCCTTCTCGATAATTTCTTGAGTTTCTAGGATTTGTGTTTGTGTATGATCTATATCATTGTCGCGTTGTTGAAGAATTTTTACTGAATCCTTCCACTGTTGAATCAGGGCATTTCGTTCCTCTACTTGCTGTTTCATTATTTTTCCTACAGAAAAACAACAATCAATGATGTCAGCAGAAAAATATAGAGGAATTCATGTAAAACCATTTTTTTAGTTCCCAAGTATAAACTAGAGAGTAGAAGTATTGTAATAGGTTTCCCGTTTCTGTCTGTCTGTCTGTCTGTTGGAGATTGTATTAGACGAGTGATCTCCGAAATTACTAAAAAGATTACTGTGGAATTCTAGGTAAACTTAAAAAAATGATCTTGCAGATAGCAAAATGCTAATAAAATTTCGTCTATTTTATCCACCAAAAATTTGACGGAGATAATTTTATTATGTAAATCTTGTTTGAAATTTATATTGTATCATACTTATCTGTGCCGTAACAATGTAATCATATTTTTAACCGTACTTACATATGCAAAAAAATGGTGTAATGTTATTTAAACAGAACTTATGTTGCCCCTGAAGTACAGTCGCACAAATAGAGGTGCGAATTTTATTTATTCTATGATAATCTCTATAAGTTAAAATAGGGATATGTATGGAGTCTAAATCTAAATTGCAGGCAAAGAAGCATGTTATGCTTGTCATGTGATGGCGTCACACAGGACACGTAATTATATCAGTCTGAATAGGTGCAGTGTAGTAATACTAATAATAACTGCACTGTATTCTCAAATTTTCTAAAATATGTAGTAAACCATACTTGATCAAATTTATAAAAAAAGGCGCATAAATCAATCGAACCAGCGACTTTCGCATTAATAATACATTTTTCGACTAAACTGTACACCTCATCAGACGATGTGTTCGCTTATACTGCTATAAAATGTTGTTATGCAATTTGGACTTTTTCATAAAAATGTGGACGTGTAGAGTATAAAATTAAGGCTGATTCATAAACCACAAGTAAAGCAGTATGTTATTTTATAAAATTGAGGTACCATTTACTATGGAAAACTGCATTTCGTGAATGTTTTCATTGTCTTTATCTTTTTCCATGACTTAATTTTAAATTGTTGAATACATTTAGTTACACTTATGATCTTTTTTTTTTGATGAATTTTGCGTACTCATCGCGGTACGGGAAGTCGAATTTTCCGCACGCGCGGTTTTGCCTTCCCGTTGCCATGGTAACTCTAAAGAAGCCTGGAAGCGTAACGTTGTAATATGTTTAGAGTGCTTCATTATTTATAAGTAATTCACAATTAATCTTGAATCACTTGAACAGTATCTAATAAATTTTATTGGCATTTCAAAGTTAACCATGAAGATTAGACCCACAAAACCATAAATCACAAATTCAATGCAACCCTGGATGTTTCTAGGCCACTTTAAAATGGCGGCACGCTCCTTTTATTGGCGGCATTATCCCCGTGCATTGTCCCACAATCCCTCAAAGTAAAATTTTACTAGGTACTGATGTAGTGTTAGAACTGTACTTCCCCCTGCTGTCTTCGGTCGTGCCGCAAACAAACGTTCATGCGGGAAGTAGGCTTTCCCAAACTAGTTATGTAAATTACTGTTTAATAACGTGTGTAAAATTGATGTTATAGATAGATAAATAAAATTTATCTTAACTGTATTTAACAGTTTTGATAGGCAGTGGACATTAATATAAAGACAAATATATTTAGAATATAATTTGAATAACGATGCTTTTAAAAACAATTCAGTTTAATAAAATGTCGATAAAGACGTTTTAATTTTTGTTATGATCAGTGTATTTAATAATGGTAAAACATTATTCATTAATTTAAATGTGTATAATTAGCATGAAAGTCAATAGTTTTTGTAATAAACTACAATTTCCACACAGAATTACGATATATGTATTAAATATATTTAGCATTACCTTAAATTATACACTGTGCGCCAAACGTTAGGAATATTTTAATAAATTTAATTTAAGTCTACTCAATTATTTCAAAAAAAAAAAAAAAAAAAAATATGTCTCATCCAAATTCCTAACTTTTGACGCGCAGTTTAATTTAATAAATTTATATTATAAACTAGAGGCCATCTATGTGCATAAATTGCAGAAATGTTTGTATTTTCTTTATTGTAAGATGACTGAGATGTTCCTTCAAAATCGAAAATTATAAAATTACTGAATATAAATCCGTTAACTGAAAGGGTATTAGCTATTTTTATTTTTTATTTATAGGAAACGATTTACCATATTCGGATTTTTTTTGGACGTGGGTATTAGTCTTTTCCTGGATTTGTAAAAATACGTTACACCATAAGAGTTGCATTTTAATGTGTATATTAAAAATTACTTACCTTGTGCCGCTACAACTACCACTGAAGAGTAAGTAATTAACTTTCACGATTTTAAAATGAAATAAATTTAACGCGTAAGTACAACAGTACAAAAATACTAAGTACGTGATGTGGTTATGCGTATTGAAACTGTATGAGGTTTATAACCAAATTTTCACAAAATTATAGGTTCGGGAAGATTTGTAACATTTTTACCAAAATTTGATTTAAAGGTTTTTTCACCATATTACACCCCATTATTATCGTTATTGTTTATGTTATCCATCATCCAAAATGTTTATGTTTCGTGATTTAATTTTAATTTATTTTTTATTACACCACCTGTTCGTTCCTAATTTGCATAAAAATTAACATGATTAACAATTTTTATTTTCCCATTTGAAAAATATTAAAAGCAACATTTACATTATATATTGGTTTTTGTTGTACCGACCTGTGCGTTCCAGCATTCTTTCATAGTTGGTAAGATCACAAACCATTTTCTGGATAGTTTGTTTTCTGCTGGCAAATTCAAGTTCTAAGTTCTGTCGTTTCGCTTCCAGCTCATTATATTTTCGATAATCTTGCTTAGAGAACTTCTTAATTAACTCATTATCATCATCCCTTTTTTGTAAAGATTCTTCCCAAGCCTTCAGAGCTTCCGTATCCCATTCGGTTTCCGATTTTAACGTATTCAGTTTTTTAGCACATCTTTCCAATTGGGCCCGTTTTGCTTTCTGCCTTTCTTTTATTTCAGCAGTTTTCTTCTCGCATTCCCTTATGTCATGATCGTACTTGTTTTTTTGCGCTTCATGTGTTTTTAACCTGTGCTCGTCGGCTTGAAGTTGCTGAGCATGGACCGTGATGAGGTTCTAAAATTTTTCTATAATTTTTAAAGAATATGTGGCGATTTTCGGTTACCTGAGTTTGCTCAGACTCCGTTGATATGTATTTTATGTGGTGTTCAATATTTTCGAGTTTCACTGTTGAGGTTTCAAACTGAGTTTTCGCCTTAAGTTTTTGTAAAGTAAGTCTAGCGACTTCTTCTTCGAGTTGCTGATTCTCGGCATTCGCAACCGGTATTTGGAATCCATCTTCCCAACCTAATTTTTTGAGAATTTCTTCTAAATATGTTGACATTATTAAAAAATTCACTTTCGTCAGACGAACATTCTTGTCATGAAGTAAGTTTGTTTAGGTGCGGTTTAAACGGTTTCCGTGGTAACCGTCGCCCCTCTTTTTCTAAATTTAGGTTGCTCATGTGCCAAGAGTGGAGCATGTGAAATAATTCGGAATTTAAAAATAGATCTTAAAAATTTGTAAATACATTTAGGTAAGCACGCAGTACTGAATTAGTTAACACTTGTGCGATTTCTAGGCATTTATCTAACAGTAGCAAATGGAAATAAAACTTTTATCGTGCCCTTTGTGCCTTAAGCCGCATTTTCAAGGAGTGGAATCTTTGCGTTCGTCGCTAATAAGTGTAGCAACTTCACATCTAACATGCCCTGTTTGTAATGAATCTCTCTTAGGATTAGATAAATTAACCATACATCTGTTCACTCACATCACCGACAGTAGTGTTAGCGCTAAATATAATGAAGAAAGTGAAATGGCAAAGAGCGAAAAAGAAATTAACGAAAGTATTAATAGCCTGAACAAGTCATTGGTAGAAAATGACAACGACCATATCAAATGTGATATTTGCAGCTTCACTTTTACAGACAGAACTATATTAGATATGCATCAAAAGCTCTTACACCAAACTTTACCCGATAAAAATACAGGTCTCTACAGTTATCACTGCCATCTGTGCAGTAAGAAATTTAAAAAACGGGGAAGTTTGATGGTTCATCTTCGAGTTGCACATTATGGTTTCGGACATCAGAGTTCTGAAAATTGGAACAATAGTCCGGAAAGCCCCCAACAAACGACTAGAAGCGTTAATATGGACGTCATCGCATCGCCAAAAAATCCACACGAACAAATCAAAATTCAAGATAATAAACAATGGGAATGCGACGTTTGCTCGAAAATGTTTACAACGAAATACTTCTTGAAAAAACATAAAAGGCTGCACACTGGTAAATAGCTATATGCTGTAATATCGCTGCTGATCAGATTAATTTTAGGAGAAATGCCCTATTTTTGCGCGCAGTGCAACAAGTCTTTTACTTTTCAGCAATCGTACCACAAACACATGCTGTATCATTCTTCTGAAAAGCCCTATGTTTGTAACGAATGTGGTCGAGCTTTTAAAGAATTGTCTACGCTTCAAAATCACGCTAGAATTCATTCAGGGGAAAGACCATTTGGATGCGAAACTTGTGGTATGAAAAATCTATGTACATACATACAGATAAATTTGATATGAGATTATGTGGTCCAAATGCTTTACTAATATTTAATAGTTGTTTCAAAGACGCACTTGAGAAATAAAAATTTCAGAAAAGTACTACTTACCCGTTGGTCGCTTGTTTATATGAATTGCGAGCATCCTCTGATCTAAATATCGCTTTTTTTTATTTACATTTTATTGAAGTTTGTATTTCTCACAAACGCTTTTGATCATATGGTACATTGTGTATTTAGAATGATGACATGGTACAAGATGCTTAAACATTTCGTGTCTAATAGTATACAAAATACTAAATTATGTATAAATGCGGTTATTTTGATGAAAGTCAATTTAACGTTTTTCTGTCGTCGTTAATCTGTTGGCAATTGTATTAGTAGTTATTCTCCGACACTACTGGACTGATTGTTGTGAAGTTTTAGAAGATTATTTAAGATTATCACGCAGATGGTAAACGTTAATTAAAATTTGTCTATTTTTATATATCCACCAAAAATTTGATGACGTCATCTCAAAATTGTATTAAATAAATTCTTTTTGAACTTTATATGGTAAAATGTTTTCTATTTGTAGTTTAAGACTTTAAGAGTATATTTGCTTGCAATTTCACTTGTAGGGTCCATAAAAATTGCGAATTTTTCTGGGTTCAGATACGAATCTGTGTACCTAGTTTTCATTTGAATTAACAAGTATATTTTTTATGAATAAATGATCAATATTAAAACAAAAAATAACTATTATTTTATGACAGAGGCTCACCAGTTTTTTCGTGGTAATAATGAAGGAGTTGTTCTAAACTGTACTCATAGTTAGGTTACAGACATCAAATTTAATTTAAATTTCACGAAAAAAAAAGTTTTCAAAAATTGTCTAAGGTTATTTAGACACAATTTTTCTCGTACCTGAAGTACAATACAACAAATCCAGCTTTTTCGAAAAATTATAAGATTTATTTTTACGAATTTTATTTTTTTACGATAATCTCTAAGAAGTTAACAACAAGTGATGTATGCATTCTTAAAGTAAAGGCAAGCTAGACACATGCTATGTGTATGTTTCTTTTCGGAAAAATGGAGTGGGTTGAAAAAATAGTCGGCGTGCAAACATAAATTGATTGCTTTAAAACAAGCAACGCAAAAAGTATATTGCAGAAATAGCATTTTTTTTATTTTTTAGCTCATGCAGTTTTTTTTTTATTTAAAAAAAAATGTAAAAAATTGCTTTATTCACTTACCTATGTAATATTCGTAAATTATCGCAATTTTTCTTAAAAAAAATTCTGACTGATTAGGTTGTTCGGTAGTGCAAGTTTATATAAAATTTGGTAAAATATTGGATTGGATTTTTGAGAAAGCATAAAAAATGAAATAATTTCATCAGTTTCAAAAATAAATACGTCAAAAATGTGTTTAGCGATGCTTTAAGAAAATATTATTTTACAAAAGCAAATAAAACGTACCTATAAAAAGGATATGATAAAAATTCAGATAAATAAAAAAAAATGGTGAAGATTGATTTTTTTAATTATTGTGTATTCTATCAATTAATTCATGTTAATGAAGTGATGAATACCTACATAAAACTCATTCATCTTTATTTATAAACTAAATTTCATTAACACAAGTTCATAATAAATAAAAAAGTTATTTGAGGTGTCCTCTTCTAGCTGATACACTTTGTACTCCAGGGACGAGGGAAGTTCTATCTGATTGCATAAGACCAATTTTTTTAAACTCACTCTATAAAGCTGCCTTTTCCATAATATATGAAAGAAAGTCGATCTAAATTATCTCGAAATTTAATATCATAGGATTCAACATAACGTCACCTTAGAACTGGTTTGCCGCATATCCAGATCGCGTCCGAGGGATTTTCGCCTCTACTGTTTGGTGCAGATTTGCCGCATGTCGCACTTGGGCGAAGCGAAACATAGTTTAGATTCAGTGCTGATTTGCCGCATGTCCAAGCAGAAATCGATACAGTACCGTTATCCGTTTTTACGTACTTCCTTGCTCTTTTGCTTTTCAGCGTTAGGTTTGGGGTTGGGAAAGAAATCGTATTCAACTTCACGCGCAGAACAATAAGAATAATGTGAAATAAATAAAAAAGAGACTTAACAATTTTGATGAATCTGAAATTAAAAAAAAAACAACTGTAATTTGTGCAACTCTTTTTCTGTTGTTATAGATGTTACAAATATTTTCGATTTTTTTTTTAAGAAAGATTGAGTTTCAAATTATTAGATTCGAAATTTTACAAATTTAAATTTCAAATAGATTTGTTGCTCGTTAAACAAATAATTTAATTTTTTACTTAACAGTAACATTTTTATTTAATGATTTCTCGGAAATGATTGAACTTATTTTCTCTAAAATTTTAGTCAACAAAATTCATAATGCTGCATACCTGTATTCGTATTTGTGGAAATGATATTTCCACATCAATAATTACAGATAATAATAGATACATTTTTCAGAGATAATTAAGATTAAGATTTCTTAATCAACTTCACGCGCAGAACAAGTAATACGGCAAGGACTCATAATGTGAAATAAATGAAAAATTGAAACGATATTAGAAATCTCGTGGTGAAGTAGTTAACTAAGTATAACGAACAATGAATGTTAAGTTATTGATGTTTGGATTCGATTTTTTCTAAATATTTTTAAAATAAAGAGACTTATTTTTCTTTATTTTTATATAAAATCTACATTTGATAAAACTCATTGCAGTCATTCATTTTTCCTAAAAACTGTAGAATCCAAATATTGCATTGTTAATTTCCATTGTTAAATGGTGAATTGTGAACGAAATACGGAGTACCAAATTTAAATGTGTTTTACATAAAGGAATTATTTTTACAAAGGATAATAAAATGATATTTTCTTTGCATTGGCGGAGTAAAGGCGGCTCGTTTACTCGCTGCAGTCCTACTAAAATTGCAGCTTAATATGTAATTTTTTTATATAAAATATTCAAACTGATAAAGAACACTCGGGTAAAAATAGGTTGTTGTCTCAAACAATTAGATTCCAGTATTTTATTACATTACGTGGATATTGACTACAAGTAGCTATTGTCGGGCAACCAGAGAAAATTAGCAGTGATACTGTTTAAAACTGTAAATGCAGTATATTTGGATTTGGAAATAAATCATTCGTTTCCATGTCTTATGTATCAGTGACAATTATGTTGACTGCAACCCAAATCTATTTGATTACCCCTAACTCCATAATATCTAGTACTTAATGTAGTTATACGCTTTTCAGTTGAAAATGAAAGAATTAATTGTACTGGTAGTTGTAAACAATTGTATAAATATTTCCGTTGGATTCCTTTGCGAACTCTTTGTCAATTATTATTTATGATACTATGGTATGATCCCAAACTGTTTAGAGAAGAAAGGGAGGCTGTGGTGTGCGCACGTAAACTTGTCCTATTTCTTTCCAATACATTAGCTCTAAATATTAGCTCTCTGTCTATCATCTCCTACGTGCGCTTATCATAGAGTCCTTTTATCTAAAAAGTATGCAGTATTTCCCGCGCAAACCAGCAGTCAGATCTCTAGATTGCCTGGCCTCGTGATTTGTCACGTATTTTTAAATAACATACAGTTTTCTAAATTTGCTGAAGTACTACTAAAATACAAAAATAAATAAACGGGTAAATTATATTCTCAAATTATAACTCCGAATTAAACATGCAATGTGAAAAGTTAATGCCGTGAACCCTACTAAGTATAAATTAAACGTCATTGTTTGCTAACTACATAATTGATTAAACTTATTATTTTAATAAGGTAAGGTATTAAACTAGACAGAGACTTGAATACTTTTTTTTACTAATTTTAATAATTCTTATAAATGAGTAGATATTTAATAATAAAACAATACATATTATTATACGCAAAAAATGTATTTGCATGTTTTTGCATAAACTTCCTGCATTTATAATTTATGAACAGTATTTTGGACGATGCCCAATTAATTGATAAATAATAGTATGTTGATGTAAAAAGAGTATCATTACATTACTTCAAATTCTTTTAACTTTCTTTATGTATGTAGTAATTAGTATATCCTGTTTCCAAAATCTCAAGAAATTAGGGTTATGGTAATTCAATTCAATCTGGATGCTTAGGGTAAAATCTCAATAAACAACAAATGAAAAAGTATGTTATTTTTTAAAATTTATATAACATTTATTGCTGTAAAAGTTGGAGATGACGTTATATGATGGGGAGGATGATTACAAATGTTGGTCAGCGTTTTATCAACCGGAAACGAGAGACCTATGTTTTCGTATTATAGGAGTCATGAAACGTTGAGAAGCCATAAAAGTAGCCAGTCGCCCGATGAACCTGATTACAATACTTCCTTAGCTTGCGCTCGAGACATAAAAAAAAATAAACAATAACATTTGGATTTAATACCTTTTGATATCTGGTATACCTAAACAGTGAGTGAATTTTATGCGGCTATTATTACCATTACATATAACCATCCACTTAAATTAATTGGTAAAAAAATTTGCCCATAAATAAGTTATTGTAAAGTTATTTTTATTTACACGCGTATAATTGCACAACAATAATTGTTAGACAAACAGAATGATAAAGAAAGGCAATGTCATATTAAAAAACAAATTACTCGTTTCGATGTAAGGTACCTTATATAAGTTAACAACATACATCTATTTAGTTATTATAGGTAAAATTCTAATACGCAATTTGTTCTTGAAGTAAGTCGTAAATTGTAAATAGCTATAAATTCGGAAATAATTCTTTTTAAAAGATACAAGTCAAAAATGTATTAGCCATGATTGTCAAGAAACATTCCAATTCTGTTTCAAATTTGCAAGCATTTTATGTCAAAAGCTGATTTTTGTAAACGTTCCAGTAATAAATTTCGAAGCAAAATCCACCTAAACAGATTTTGCTTCGAAATTTTAATTTTCATATTACTTTTACAACATTTTAATTTAAAAAATTAAAAATGTATCTATTATTTGTGATTATTGATGTAGAAATATTGTTTCTACAAATAAGAATACTACAAAAAATTGTGAACTCTTTTACTGGTATGCAGCGTTATAAATCTTGTTCACTAAAACTTTAGAGAAAATAAGTTCAATCATTCCCGAGAAAAAATTAAAGAAAAATGTTACTGTTTAGTAAAAAATTAAATTATTTGTTTATCGAACAACAAATCTATTTGAAATTTAAATTTGTAAAATTTCGAATCTAATAATTTGAAAATATTTGTAACATCTATAACAACAGAAAAAGAGTTGCACAAATTACAGTTGCTTTTTTTTAATTTCAGATTCATCAAAATTGTTAAGTCTCTTTTTTATTTATTTCACATTATTCTTATTGTTCTGCGAGTGAAGTTGAATACGATTTCTTTCCCAACCCCAAACCTAACGCTGAAAAGCAAAAGAGCAAGGAAGTACGTAAAAACGGATAACGGTACTGTATCGATTTCTGCTTGGACATGCGGCAAATCAGCACTGAATCTAAACTATGTTTCGCTTCGCCTAAGTGCGACATGCGGCAAATCTGCACCAAACAGTAGAGGCGAAAATCCCTCGGACGCGATCTGGATATGCGGCAAACCAGTTCTAAGGTGACGATAAGAAACCGAATCTTCAATTACCAACATATTGTGGTTAGTTTTTAGAAATAAATAGCTTTGACACTATTAGGAATATTTAAAAAATATATAAATCACCAAAAGAGTGAACAAGATTTTTCTAGTTTAAGCAATTTGTATCTCTCATGGTCTTATCATTCTAGATACTAAATCTAAGCAAAAATTCGTGCTTTCTGCTTTATCATAGAACAAATAAGAGTTTATTTTAGATTTAATTTAAGCGCTCAATTTCAGGCATAATTGCTCTCAAATTGTTTATACCATATTTTTTGTTGATTTAAAATTACAAACGGGCCATGCCACATAATTTTAAAATTTATAATCAAAGATTAAATGCTGTATTATTTTTAGGAAAGAGGTTCAGGCAACGAGTATCATATCTGGTTCATCAACGAATACATACCGGTGTTATGCCCTATAAATGTACTGCTTGTGAAAAAAGCTTTCGATATAAAGTGAGTCAGCGATCCCATAAATGTCCTGTAACGCCTCCAGGATCGGTAGTTAAGGTTACCGAATCAGAGAAGACTCAAAAACAGGAAACTCTTGTTACTAGTACTAACACTGTAAACAATGAAGCTATGAATGTTAAATGCATAATGTCTGTAGACTATAGTACTGGCAATATAAATTTTATACAGAATGATCATCGCAGTGAGCTTAAGCTTATGTACATGGAAAATAATATGCCTCAAAGGAATCCACAAGAGAATGTAACTGCCATGGATGAAGAAAATAGTTCATGCCCATCTCTGAAAAAGTCAGAAAAACCTGCAGAAAACCCCGGAAACAACTTGTGTAACAGTACGTAAATTTAAATCTTTTGAACATTGTGTGATATCAAAGTTACAGATACTTCAGCGTATACAGCGGAACATTCAGATTTGTTTTCAATGGTTTTGTCACCCTTACTGCCCGATGTAGAATCACTATGTCTGACAAATTCTTCCGTTGAAAATCCACAGAAAAATGAAGAAAAAGTGTGTGATAATCTTCAGATATTAAATGAAGAATCTTTCAAAGAGTTGTTGTATGGGCCTGGAAACAAATAAAATGAAAAATGTTTTTGCTACGATGATTAAATATTATAAGCGCAAGCACTTTGTTATATTGCTTTTACATACTATATTTGACGTTAATTTAGAGTTTTAAATATCTTGAACAAGTTTTGTTTTTGAAACTTGATCTGTACTTCCAGTTTTTATTTAAATAAAAATCGCCACTTTATTGAATTGGTTTAATTTTCTAAGTTTATTGTTCGGATGGCATTTCAAAATGTTATTTGTTTAAATATATATCAGTAATGCCAAAACGGACCATATTTAACATTGTTCATAAAACTAAGAGATTAAATTAAAAGAAAAGACGATCTAAAGATATTTAGACATTACAACTTTCCTCGTCTCTGAAGCATAATCAGTGAATATTTAGCATAGGTATTAATTTTAAAATGTATAATACACTACTATGAGCGTTATTCGTTCCTAGTGAAGGAACAGAATGAACAATTTTTTGCAATAATTTCCATCAAAACTTCTGAATTTGAACCAGAATTGATCTGAAGAGATATATTGGATATAATGTGGTTATTATATTAATTGCTTTTAAACTCTCATAGAATTTCACAGTTGTCAGTTATACAGGAGTCTATATCCGCTTGGGTGAGAAGAACTTTTCCTCGAAAAAGCACACACACATTTATGTTGCACTCACTAGATTTTTCTTTTTTTTAGTAAAAACAAAGTAACTTTGTACTCAAACATTTTTATTACAAAAAATATACATATTAAATTTGATATATTTCAGTAATTTATATTATACATCAAAATAGTCACTGCCACTCAAACGCTTTTAGTCTGGCTCTGTGAGTATTATCTAGCCATCCCTAGCACCTACGTTTACATTTGCTGAATTTAATGAAGGCTCCGATATAAAATCCTTTAAACGCCATATGCAGGCTGTTTAGTAAACACTATATCTTTGCGGCCAGTATACTGTGGTCCGTACCGGTGTAAAACATGCAGTCAACAAAAATGTCCTCAAGTCGTCGTTGGACGAAAAAGCTGTCTTTTCCATTCCTCCATGGCTAATTTGAAGATATAACTTATCACCGTTTTTTATTATACCTTTTTAGTGCTCTAGCCTCTTTTTCTTCGTTTGATTTGTCGCCTTGTCGTGTTTGGTCTGCTTTTTTGTTCGGATTTTTGCTTTTCCCACACTTTGTGTGTTCTTTTTATATGTTTTCTTTTGTGTTTTTGTGATTCCCTTATGTTCCCTTTTGTCGCCCTTTTTTATAGTTTTTTAGCGCCTTAAATGTGTTTTATTTGTGGTATTTTTAGTATCTATTTTTTATGTATTTTCTGCCTCTTTTGTGATCAATAATAAACTTTTTTTTATTCTACAAACATAAGACAAATTATACTCAGAAGAGTGAATGAGTTAAAAAGGATAAAGTTAAAAATAACTGAGTTGCTAAGCCATATATATATATCCTTTACAAGTAATTCCATAAAATAAAAATATATTAATATTATTATTATTACTATTATTAAATAGATATATACAACATTTATTTATTGTACAATTTATATTATAATAAAATTTCAAAGTAGATTTAAACTTTAATTGTTGCACAAATTATTGTTCTATCCAAAGTGGATTTATTTCATGTAGATAGCGATAAGATTTTTTTTTAATTATAGATTAGATTAAGGTATATGTGGGGTTTCCCAACAGTCCAAGAGTTGAATAGAGCTGATTTAGGGCTATTGTTGACAAGAATTTTCAAATTTACACGTATAAACCAAAATTTATTTTTTTTACTTGAAACACATTTTCAAAAGTTTAAATTTTTTACGAAAAAAAAATGCATGGGCAGATATATTGTAGTAGTTTATGAAAAATCGCAGCTCGATGAGTTTTAAATTTTTTTATAGACGCTGGTTTAGAATTTTACCCAAATCTTTTTAGTTGTTTGCCCTAACATACGTATAAAAGTCGAATAATTTTTAAGCATATTTAGACAAGATGATTTACAAATTTATTATTATTATTATTTTTAAACAAGAGAGTATATTTTATATTTTGAAACTTGTTTCTTAGTAAACTTTGTTTTGATACCACCTTTTTTGAGATTATATTGTAGCCATAACTCCAAAACATCCATTAGGATTTTAATCTCACTCTTCATTCCTCCACAGACCTGTGCGAAATTGACCCTACATCAAGAAATATACAGCATAGAATTTAGATAGGTACACTTTTTTATATTTTATTCAACAAAATGGTTCAACAGATTTAAAAAATAAAAAAACAGGATAAAAATTCTGAAATTTTAACGTTGCTGAGAGATTGTAGCTTAATAAATTTATTCTGGGTAGTTTAATTCACGCTATGTTGACCAAGTGACATAACTGACAGTATTATTCTCATTGTGCAGTATTAATGTAGTAATTAATTGCAAGCAACAAGCAAGCATAAGAATTGTTAACCTAATTTTGTTTCTTTAGGTACATCTATACAAATGAAAATAGTCGGATGTGATCAACAAAAATCGCCCTCTAATTGGCGCCAGATATAATAATGATCAGCCATTTTCAATCCCCTCTACTGAATACAAATAGAGGTGATTTTTCTTGATCACACTTTATTTATTACGCAGATGTAACAAATAATACTACCTATTTAATTATTATGCGCATTTATGTGTGAATTATTCGATACAGTTTTGTATTCAAAGACAAGCCATAAAGTATAAAATAAAAATAAAACGTAATTGATTTGCCCATTTCGGACCCTTCTAAATGATGCCCTTGTTTGAAGTAGGCGTTGTAGTATTTTTAACTAGCATGGTCATTATTATTAGAGAGCAGTAAGTATTGAAGCACTTGTATATATGTTAACGAACCTTGTCAGACAACAGTAATAGAAAAACCATGCCTAGACTTTATCACAAGTGTACCTATTTCAGAATAATGAGTAATTCTAGCCGTAATTTTATTGTTGCATAGTACAGAATAAATAAAATTCATTTTCTTATCTACTGGTTGTATGTACAAAATGAAACCATTCTCCTATTACAAAAATGAAAATTACGAATAATATCATGAATTTTGTCAAAGACCAGCATGTGTCTATGTATTTACTACTATAGAGTTTTAAAATAATAATTAAAGCAAAACACAACTGACTTGTCGCGGCTTAATTTTAGTCTTCTTATAAATTCTTATTGCTTCAATAAAAACATCATCCAACCCTTCTCTCGTTTTTGCCGAACATTCGGCATATCCTTGTGCTCGTACTTTTCTTTTGAGTTTCTTTCCATCTTGTGTTGAAAAGCATCGCAGGCTTGGATCTTCTCTTAAATCTATTTTTGTAGCTACAATTATCCAATTAATATTACTTTGCATTCACTGTTTGATTAAAAAGTTGTCATACCTACTAGTAGTATAGGTGTATGAGGATTATGATGTCGGACTTCTGGAACCCATTTTACCGAGACGTTGTCATACGATGACGATGTGTCATCAACGGCGAAACAAACTAAGAAGCATTTTGTCTAAAATAGAAAAGTTTAGTGTTTTTTTTATAAGCGGGAGTCACATTTACATTAGGATATGCCAACGGCCGGAGTCTTTCATAGTCTTCTTGTCCAGCCGTGTCCCATAGAGTCATATTGTACACCACACCATCAACCGTGATGTCTTGTCCATAATGTTCAAATCTAATAGGAACAAAAAGCAAAAATAAATTAAAACACGACTACATAGCACACAGAAGTCTTTTCGAAAATATTATTTTAATAATAAATTCATTGACTACGGTATATGAGACAAATGAGGCTTCTATATGACATAAATAAGGCGACAATTTTGTCAAAGTTTAGATTCATAAATACTCACGATCTTTACTTAAATATGGCAATGCAATTTTCGAAGTCATTTCTGTCTATTGATACATTTAAAAGCATGATACAATAACTTGTTGAAAGTTAAATTAAATTCTAAAATTTAATTGCAACTTACAGACAAAGGAATGCCGATGTATATTAATAAAAGTGCTATTTGTTATTTTATTAAAATTATATGGGGCTTATTTTTTTATCAGTTATTTCAGAATAATTCCGAGTCTTTTAATGCATTTGAAACGATGAACTTAATATCAGTTAATGCTTATTCCTCAACCCTCAAGACGGTTTTGAGGTATACGTACTTTCTTATTTCTCGCAAGCACAATGTTGTTTTTTATATAAACAGAAAAATATCTGATGCCTTATTTTAACAGTTATTATAAGATCTATACAAAAAGTATATATACATATACAGTTAGCTGGGAAAGTTCTGCGTCCTTCCCGTCGTTCCATCTTTCAGTGAACGCTAATGATTCACTCAGGAAGGTGATAGTGGAGGGTGGTAAAACTTTCCGAGCAAATTGTACTGATTTATTTTTAAATGTGTACCGCCTGTTCTAAATAGCGTTATGTACTAAAAGTGCCACCTTTCAGACAAACTTCGTACCAATATAACGAATGAAAGTAACATCAAAAATTTGTAAAAAATGTACTGGCAGGTTGTTACTGTGAACTCATTTGAAATAAATGTATAAGTACGGTTATCAATTTCATATATAAAAAGTTAAAACCCTAGAATTTTTTGAGTACACAAATATTTACGTTTAATACAAATCTAACCATATGTATAATGGTAATCTTAACAAAAGGTTTTTGAAGGTTTCAAGTTTTTGGAAACTTATGCCACAATATGCTATAACACACGTAGTGGAGGGTAAAATACAGTATTAAAAAAAGCGGACATTCAGATAAAAGTGGTCGATCTAGCAACAGTTATCTAGTAGAATTTATGTTACTTAGTTAAGATTCCTTTTCTAGGTATCTCTTAATTGTTATTAAAGAAAGATATTGAAGTGCTATATAACAAAAAATAAATGTTTAAAATATTAAAGACACTAAATATACTTATCTGTTGTGTCTGTCTCCGTAAGTAAACTTAATTTTCTCTTAAATTGATGTTTATTAATTCAAAGCATGATAATTCTACATAGATCTTACAGTTTTTATTCATTTATTGCTTTAATTTAGGACTTGAAGTTCTTAATCAAGCTACCCAATTAGTTCAAGGTATTTTAATAAAAATTTTCTGTATATATTTTAAAATAAATAGATCCACAAATATAAAATATGGTGTCAAATAAAATACTTTAAAAAATTCTCATTATGGAATATATTGTACACACCTAGTTTCATTTAAGCTGATTAATAAGCCCGATATAAATCTTTTCAGAACGACCATTGAGTTACCATTAAAGAGTATAGAATAGCGTCAACAAAAAAATAAAATTTGTTCATAAAATATAGCCTTCCCCACAATTTGTGTTACTTTTTTAATTTAAATTTGTCATTGAAAACCATTAAATAATTTTTCATTTATTTTGATTTTCTAAAGAATTTATGATTGTGAATTATATCATTAAAGAAGTAGTAAGTAATATTTATTTATTTATTATTTTTAAATTTAAAAATATTTTACAATTTAAGTTGCTTTAAATAATTGTTTTTATACCCTGGTAATTTTATCTGTGATTTTGTCAAATACAAATAATAAGATAATTTCATTTTAGAATTCTATGAAATATACTTAAACTTCAGCATATTAAAAAAAAGCTACCCACTAAATAAATAAAAAATAAAACGATACATATAATATAGTTACTTATTTATATGCATCCATCGATAAGTTATATTTGTTTAAATTGATAAAATACTTTACATACAAATACCCACAGTGTACACTTATAAAAACTCCCGTTTTATTTAATTTTTATCCGACAAAATAAACAAATCCGGATATTAAAGTTGTCAGTAGGTAGCGATAATGAAGGCAAATTGGGACTATGACTTACACTGTTGGCACGTACTCCTCTGGGAACTCATTTTTCGTATATGAAATTAGAAGGCACGTCTTTCCTACCACACCATCCCCAACGACAGTAATTTTGACGTTTTCTGGTGATGAGGTCATATCTAAAAAATAATAATCAGTGGAATCTTTACACACAAGTATATAACTAACTTTATTCGCCAATAAAAAAAATAATAAAGTGGGTAATTTTAGTGTGTTAATGACACAGTCATGCGTATGTTCGTGTCACGTTGCACATTATTAATAAAATCTAAAAATCCATTTTATCAGTTTTGCAAGTCCTATGTATATTACGGTTGTGACGTATGAAAGGGCGTTCCTACATTGAGTAGTAGGGATTACTAGCTTAATAAAAGTACAAATTACTTACTTGCATAAGAGAAGTCACTTTGAGAATTTACAAATCACAGTTTTTCTCCACATTTAAAAAGTTAAGGTACTTATGGAAATACACGAACCACACTAAATAATAGCACACATCGTATCATTCATTATCTGGAAGGAAACTGTTATCTAAAAATTATCAAGAGAAGCGCTGTTACACTTGTAAATTTATTGTGTTAGTTTACCAATGTCTCTCTATGACGGACTAGTGCCATAAAGCGATGAGAGACTTTTCCATAAATTTATGTGACCTGTTTCCGTTAATAAAGCTTCATTTAGTTATTTTGATAATTTGCTAATTGAGACGGTAACATATTTCACACTGAGCTGCCACACTCATGAATCATTTCATTCTTTCCTACACTACGTTTGTTGAATTAAATAAGCAAAGTTAAGTTTGCTTTAGGCGGGTCTGCATTATGACTAGAACGTTTAAAGTAGCATATTATTATTCAAAGAAATTGTAGCCATTTATAAGGCAGAGGATGAGCATTGTTTATTGATACATTCTTTGCATTGCTGTTGCCTATTTGCGTTTAGTGATGGGCTTATGAATTTTATTTATGTATAGTATTTATGAGCTCCTCGCAATAAATAATTATTTATAAAGAAAATCAGCATAGAAAAATAGATTTTTAATTAATGTTGTATTGTTTTTATCATAAAATGTGACGAAGCTATTTTAGCGATTTTTTTTTAGGTTTTTGTGTACATTCTGTTTTTAAACCTAGGCAAGAGTAATAGTGTTCTATTGATAAATTGCTAATTTCAAGTTTTCTTGGCGTTTTTAACTGTTCGTAAAAAATGAACATGCAGGTTTCTTCTTCTGTGTGTCTTCTGTTCAAAATATTTTGAATAAATAAATACCACATGATTGGTGCTCTGAAATTGTCCGTCAGTATAGATTATAATGTACTCAAAAAAATTGATGATCCCGTAGTGAGTTACGTATGGTTACACCCTCGAAACTCAACGAAATTTTAATAATTAATAGCAGTAATTTAAACATTTCTCATAAGAAACAAATATTTGCGCATTCGCTGTATATCTCTGTTCATTTTTACTAAAAGCGTAAGTTTTAAATTAATTAATAATATAGTTATTGAGGCATTTTCTGTAATTATTTCGAGCCACTGACCTCAATATTTTGTTCATTTATCATCATCTAAAATTTTGTAATTTTCACATATTTAACCACATAAAAAATGAGCAACACAAAAAGTGAGTCACTTTTTGCGTGTAAAATTGCACTACAAATATTTTCCTGCGAATTATTGTCATTTCACAGCTAGTCTAAACTAAAAACTACTAGCTTGTTTCTAAAAACTACATATGTAACAAAAATTTCTGAAGTGGTAAGGCATTAACATTGAGTCACAAAGTATAAAAGTCCATTTCAAATTTATTCACTCGTAGCCTTCAAAACATCAATGTTGAAGAAAGTAATCAAGAAATCATTACTTAAAACACACCGTTAGATGCGTTTTTTTTTACTTTTTTGAAATTCTTAAATGTGCTTTTACTAACACCCAGAAAAGATTAAATTGACGGTGTGTATAACTTGCTGTACCTATAACATGTTGTACTCTCTTATGGTCTTTTGGAACATACGAGTAGCAAACGCACAAGGAAAAAAGGTCAACTTAAAATTAATTAATCTACAATGAAGTTAAAATTAATCCCTTAAAAAATATTACAGATCTATGGATCATTTTTATAACAAATTGTGTTTCCGTTAAGCGAAGGCAATCCGAAAAGTATCTGGTACAATAATACAATAATTCAATCCTTAAAAAGAAAATATCAATTTTGGCAGAGTTATAAACGTATAAATCCATACTCGACCTTGAAAACTTTAAGTCACTTAAATGTTATTAGAGCCACTATAAAACTGCTCATCAAGAATGCATATTACAGCTACGTAAAAAGTGTCAGCAGTAACATCAAGGCTGATCCTAAAGCATTCTGGGCATTTTTGAAAGCAAAAAATCGTTAAACAACAATAACATCGACAATGACTCGAGATAATAATATATTTGAAACACCACAACAAATCGTGAATGAGTTCGCAAATTTCTTTTTTTTTTACACATAATTCTCCTAATATTAATAACGTCTGTGATTTTAATCCCTCTGAAATAAGTGTAAATACTTTGCATCCTTTCCAGATTTCTGTATTTGCAAACCTCTATTTATTATTTATAATATGATTCTAAAAACTTGTCGGTTTCCTTTTTTGTGGAAATTATCACGAGTTTCACCTATTTGATATATCGTTCGGATATATCAAACTATCGTCCCGTAAGTATTATGAGTAATTTTGCAAAAGTGTTTGAGTATGTTCTTCATCCCAAAATCTATTCGCATGTCTCACATATGCTAAGTACTAAGCAGCATGATTTCATGACGGGTCGATCGACTGTCACAAATCTTAGAGTGTTTACTCAATTTGTTTCGGAAGTTCTGAATAGAGGAGGGCAAATAGACTGATTCCTCGAAGGCATTCGACAGAATAAATCACAGTCTGCTGCTTGTTAAACAGTTAAGGTGGTATCACTCAGAATTGTCACACAACAGTTGAGCATAAATAACTCTTCACGTAGTCCAAACACTCTCTAGTGTTCTCTAGTCACTTTTCAAATATCTTAACGCTTGCTACTGCTATCGTTGTTCCGTGCGTGTAGGAGGTATAATGTTGTCGCTCTTTCAAAACGACCCCATCAAATAACGGTAGACACTTAGCGAGGTTTTAATGAAAATTGGTTTGGACCACTGGAAGAGGGTGGAGTGTTGTGCATGCTGCATCCGAAATTCCGCGTGAATCACAAATGCAACCTTTCACAGTTTTTATGATAAGGGTGAATTTTTTAATTTAATCTATAGGTAATATTGCAAATGAAACCCTTGCTATGGAACAGAGGTAGTATAATAAATAATATAAACATTTTGTGTACTCCAGTTATAATAAAACAATGAGTATTAAATTACAATTATAATATATCTATCAAAACATTAATTTTATAATTTAATTTCTTAAATTATGCATTTTTTTGTAATTTAAGTGATTTCCATCGATAAAAGCACCTAACAGAATAATTAACAAAAACAACTATTACAATAAATTATTTAAAAATACAGAGTACATACATCACTAATTGCAAGTGTCACATTTCCTAGACACCGAAAACAGAAAAGAACAACAATAAAACATTTATTACTCAGAAAAGTCTAAGTAAAAAGTGAATATACTTATATAAAACTGTTAGAATAGTATTTATTTAAACTTTGGTCTGAACTTGTTTAGACAGAACTTACCGCGCTCTTGAAGCAAAGTGTAACATATTTAGCTTTGTTGAGAAAGTGTAAAGATTTGATTTTGCATATCCTAAATCATGAAACGTTGAGAAAACAAAATTAGAAATTCGTGCGATGGACCCTATTACAATACTTTCCTAGCTTATGCTTGGGAAGAAAGAAACAACAATAACTGTAACAAATAATACATAATTCAGACATAAAATTTAGGATACAGAATTTCTTATTCTCTCTGCCTCCAAATATAAAAAGTTAACTTTTATGGTCATCCTTAATTAATTCCTTTAGATAAAAATTGAAAAAAAAATCTTTTAATTTCTGATGCATTTTTTCTTTATAAAATGTTTCGTCTCTGGAAATTTCCTCGTATAAAACTCCTTTCGGTGTCCAAAAAACAAAGAAGCAACTTTTTTTATTAGAAACATAGAGTTGTCCTTGAACTTGGTAAAAGTAGCTATGATTGCGTTTGAGTTTGAATTTATTATTTACTATTGTTGCAAAGTCTACTTTTTTTTGATTAATGGCTTCTTCAGGAGTGACAAATCTGGCTGCATATGGGCATTTTATCTCTAAAAGTGTGTTTTCGCCAATTATGCCATCTGGAGAGGCACCTAAATAATTGTCGGTTGGATGAATATATAATCCACATGGACGAATTTTTTCTTTTAAAATGGATTCCATGTCCCGTCGAGCTATTACTTCATTATCTACTCCATATCTGGTACTCCTATTGCCTTTAAATCCTATCAAAATGGACCTACTAACTTTTAAACAATCTGTTTGAGGCCGAAGTTTACATATCCGACCGAATGCAGAAGCTGTAAGACGGATTCGTCTTTCTTCGTGCCACAATGTGCAGCTTGATTGTTCCTTGGTAGAAGCTTCAATCTGATTAATATCTTCTATAGTTTTGCATAATCTATGTATATAACGTTGTTTTAATTCATCTGAGATCTCCGTGTCCATTATGTGAGGATCCAATCCATAATCTGCATCCGCAGTTGCTTTATCTAGAGATCTTTTTGCGTTTCTTTTCTCTAGGTCATAAAGAAGACGTTCTCGACATAAAACTGCTTTTCGTTTATCCACAAACTTTTTTGTGTGCACTCCAGGACTTCTGTGTGTTATGGGTTGGTGAATCTTTGAAAGATATTCACCTTGCGAATTCCACGAATAACCAGCTGCAAAACACCTTAGACTGTATCCTCCTCTTCTCGTGAAATCAACTCTTTTACCTCCAATAAATTTTGCTAAGACAGAGTTATAATTTTCAGAAGCATTGTTTGTCATGTTTTTCAAAAGTCTGCTGCTGTTATTAACCAATCTGTTTAAGTGGATTACAATGTCATTATATAAGCCACATTGTTCCAACTCCGGGATAACATTTTTTTCTTTGTCTTTGAAACCATTACAAAAGTATGTATCGCATTTTTCATGATTACCAAAGACATGGTGAATACTATTCAGAATATCTTTTTTCAAAAATGCATTCTGCTCTTCTGACGTATTTTCATTAGTAGATCTCCTGTATTTAATTGCACAACAGATAGCTAGTCTCAGCCTTTCAATATTATTTTTCAACAGTTCTTTCACAATTTAGGAATAAACACTATTGTCACCGTCAGCCACCAAAAATCCATATTTTAGACCATGCATTGCCACACTTTGTTTGAAACCTTCAAGTATAATGTCACTTTCCATAGAAGTGGAAGATCCGTTCCAGTTTTTAAAACAAAGATGATTTTTGTTTGTTCCATTGTGACATGTCGTATAGTATTTATTTCTTATCCCTAAAAATAATAATTTTCCTGTTCGTTGTCCAACAATACATGCTGCACCCGATTTTGAATTATAGTTGCTACGATACGAACGCTTAGCCCATGATCCATCCGCTACAACCGTAATGACGGGTACTCCAGTATCATCTATTTCTCCAGCTTCTTTTGCCAAAAAACTTTCTTCTTGTCCTGCCTGAAGCATTGAATTCCAGCATTCCTCTTGGAAAATT